AGAACAAGAAAACTAGTTAACAGAAATTATTTGCAGTCCTTCAGCAAGGGCAGAAGTGCCTTGGCACTTCTCTTTAACTGTTCTCTCATTCTGCACATATTATGTTAGATTCCCACCTTTTTCCTTTCAAGGAACCCTGAGCTTCATGGTTTATATGTGCAGTACAGTCAGGGAATAATATCTTCTTATTGTGGCTGTAGAGAACACACACATGAGCCACTGGATGTGGGGAAGAAGGTAGCCACTTGAGAAGCAGCCATTGTGGTATGCCTGACCTCAGAGAAATTATTTGGAAGTTGGCTCTTGGCTGCTGTTTCCAGATGGCTATTACTGCTAAAATATGTGAAAGAAATAAGTATAAAATGTAAGTAAGCTACCTCAGACCAGTTATTAGTAATTAAGTCCTATCATTCCTATGTACCTCTTTCTTTAGAATCAACAGTATGTAGTCTCTGAAGGCTGAATCGCAATCTATTTTCATATGAGAACAGTATGTGGGAAAGGAGCAAGTACATTTTCAGCACCACAAGGAAGGGGCTTTGTGAAAGCGCTCCCATTAACAGCAGTAGTAGTCATGCTGGTAAATTTGACTGCGCAACACTGAACATTTATTCCTGAATGCCAAGTGACTGTGTAATTTCCAGCTAATGAAAAATGGCTTTCAGGTAACATGGGGTTTAATTGGGTAAGTCTGTGAGAGTGAATATAATTTTGAAAAAGAATTTGAGAGCCATCAGATTTAAGCTATCTGAAATGGGGGCGAGTGTAAAATTATATAGTCAAAGCAGCTTACTTTTGCCTCTGACCGTGCCATGCAACCATTGAGGGCTTTCTTGAACATCAGTTACTTTCCACTCTGAGCACAGCTTCTCACATGACATTTTGCATTCATACAAAACATATATGCCCTCCGTATGTTATGGAAATTGCATATACTTGTGCATCTTAAAATATGCAAATACAGGAGAAAGTATCTTTTCTCAAATGCTGTTTCAATTTATTTTTTAATAGCAAATTGGCAATTTAAAGCACTCATTCACTGATCAGAGTCTTCATATATTTTATGCTCAGGGACGCATGATCAAGTACAAGTGGAAGTGTGAGAAGTGACTGGCAAACTATTAATTAGGAAAAAGATACATCCAGGTGACAAACTCATGGGAACCTAATCCCTAAAACACAAATGTGAACTGCACTGGGGAAGCCATTGTTAGCATACTACATAGGAACACAATTCTCTTATTTTGGAGAATCTCCCAGATAGTTTCTAGGTCAGCCAAGAAGCAATATGTTGTCAGTATGAATGCTGATGCTATGCAGTATCCATTCATGGGTTTGTGCAGCTGCACTGGAGACAGGAATGGGAAGAAAAGAATATGATCATCCAGTGCTCTAAAGGAGGCCACAAAGAGCCAGAAAATAGAGGCCCAGTTGGGATGCTAGACTATGAGTGTAAAACAGGGTTTGATGAACAGGACGCAGTGAGAAGTGTCAGAAGGGCGTAGCTGTTGGGGCCAAATGTCCAGTGATCTGACAAATGTGAGGAACAGAGGCATTTTAAAATTTTCTATACGGCACCAAAATACCGTTGGCTGGCCTTCCTGGGACCTGATAAAGATTTTGAAGGGTTTTCAGAAGCTTGCATTGAATTGTCTGCTTGATTAAGAAAAAATAATTATCTGTTTATCCATTTATTGAATACATTTAGGTGTTATCTTTTGCAACTGCTATCCCAAGCAGATTTACAATGCAGTGAAAACAAAACTGAAACAATAGCTATACAATAGTTTAATTAACATCACTAAACAAATGCAATTAAATGTGTGTGTGTGTGTGTGTGTGTGTGTGTGAGTGATGGAAGTATTACACACACACACACATACACACCTACCTAAATGGCTTGGGACCTGGATACCTGAAGGAACGCCTTCTTCCATATTTGCCCTCCCGATCCTTGAGGTCAGCAGCGGAAGCTCTCCTCCAGGAACCCTCTGTGAAAGACACTAGGAGGCAAAGTACCCGGAGGAGGGCCTTCTCTGCGGTGGCGCCCCATCTATGGAATGCGCTCCCCAGAGAGGTCTGCCTGGCACCGTCGTTCTTTGTTTTTCGGCGCCAGGCTAAGACCTTTTTATTCCAGCAATATTTTAATAAGTTTTAATATTGTTTTTTCTATGTTTTTAATTGCAGCCAGTGTGGGTCGGGAATTTTATTTATGCTATTACATTGTAAGCCGTCCTGAGACTTTTTTGCAATTAGGGCGACATATAAATATTTTAAATAAATAAGTATTTGAAATTTATTTATTTATTTAGAAAATTTCTATGCCGCCCCATTCTCTGAAGCTTCGGGGCAGCTCACGACATAAAACAATTAACAATATAAAATAGGTTAACAATATAAAATAAGTCGCCCTGGCCTAAGAATAAAATAAATAAATACTGTTAACAGTTAAAATGATGTTTGAATAAAAAAGTTTGAAATCATTACACTAACCATTAAAATGCCTGATAAAATAAAGCATCTGACACCTGAAAGTTAATAGTGGATTCCAGGGAGGGAGCTCCATAACTGGGGCACTGCAGATAAGAAGTCCCTTTCAGTTTGTCCCTATTTTCTTCAAATCTGCTGTTGATGGAACTCTAAGAAGGGCCTCTGTAGAAAATCTCAGTATTCAGGCAGGTTGATACAGGAGGAAATGATCCTTAAAATGCCTGGGTCCCAAGCCATGAAAGGCTTGAATAGTTAAAACCAGCACTTTGAACTGATCTCAGAACAAACCAGAAACAAGTGTAGATCTCTCAAGCTGGTTGCAGCAAGCTATCAGAATCGTGGCTACTGTGTATTGAACTAGTTGCAGCTTCTGACTTCAAGGGTGTGTACAATAAATCATAGTAGTAAACAAGGATGTAAACAGAGCTCTTACCAGACTATCCCTGTCCAGGACGGGTTACAGTTGATCTACTAAAATGGCAGTATAACTGGCTTCTTTGCCAGCAGGGATGTGTGTGCGTGAGTAAAAAAGATGGAGCACTTCCAAGGTAGGCACATGATCTTTCAAAAAGGAGTACAGACCCATTCCAAATCTGGTTAAAACCACTCTTCCTGGATTGGGAAAGCACACATTTATAATATCTCTATTTTACCAGGACTGAGTTTTACTTTCTTCTCTCAGTAAATAGATACCATCATGCTAATTATTCTGAAGTGTATCTAATCTGTAAACTGTGCATTAGGATCACTAGCACTGTGCATTTAACTGCAATTCCCTCTGGAATGAAGTCCCACCATTAGTGGAAAGGGAAAAAATTAGTATCTGGCAGATCATGATATCGGCAACTGCAGTTATTTATATGGATGATAAGTCCCACCATAAGAGGAAAGAAAAGGAAGGAGATTATAATTGTTTTTAATATAATATTACAATATTACAGTTTCTTCACATTTTTAGGATGTTACACTATGCATGTTTAGACTGAAATATGCAGCTGGCTGGGAAATGCTGGGAGTTGTTGGACTTTTCACTGTCTAAACATGCTTAGGATTGTGTTCTAAGTGTACTACACTCAAAGTTACACTGCTTGTAGAATCTGGAAAATCCAGTGAATGAGTCAGTGCAAACCTATTCCTAGGATGCTCTCCTTGAGATACTCCACCCACACCAACATCAGCCAGATCCTGTACTGCAGAGAGATGTCCATGAGAAGAATTGCTACCTAGTTTCTGAGTGCAGTGGATTTTTTTAATGTAGAAAAACTTCCAGACTTTCAGATCTACTGTGCCACTGCACACATAGATTTATGTCCTCATCTACTGTTTGTAAGAACTGGGCCTTAATGTAACCTGGTGGATGCCAAGCCCTTTATGTGAATTCTTGCCAAACTATGTGGTCACAGTAAATATTTTTAGGAGGAAATGGAAAACATATTCCGTTGCCATACTCTAATACCAGGAAACAGCTTTTCAAAAACTCCTCAAAAGTACAATTTCTACACCGTTGCTAGGATATTCTCACCTCTATGATAAATGGGTATGAAATTTTTTGATGCAGCTCCAAAAGACTGCAACATGGCTCTGTATTTAACCATTCCTGCCCAGTTTCACCTCAAGACATTGTAGGAGGCAGAAGGTTTGTGTGTGTGTGATTAGCAGTTTTTTAAAAATCACAATTAAAGTCCAATAATAATTTTTTTGTGTTCTTGTTATGCTCTTGATCCTCAGTAGGGCTTTTTTTCAAGTAAGCAAATTTGAGACCAAAGAGACAACCATTTAGGTCAGGAATGTGCAACTTTTTTGGTCCTCAGTACTGCAGCTAGTATATGCTTGGAAGGGCAAGCACATGTGTGACTGTGAAGTAAGCCCTGGCACATAGCTTTCAGATATATAATGCATGGCTCAGTTCTAACATGTAAAGCTGCTTCAGTGTTAAATACCTAGTAGGGCACATAATTTCAAGCTCTGATCAGCTGAGACAAAGTGGGTGATGGCCACACAACCTAGTTGTGGGGTGTGTACTCTTGATTTAGGTGAGACTTGCTTTCTGCTGAATTTTTCATTGTTGCAGCCAGCAGTCCTGTTGATCTCAGTAGTGCTGACTATAGAACTTTTCGAACAACTTCAGAGAACTGAAAAGACAGCTCTCTTATAGACTACCGTTAAAAAAATATGGGAATATTGCCCATGATCAAGTAAACAATAATTAGTGTTTATCTGGAAATCCTTCTTGTTCTCTTCCAAACTATTACACCAATCCAGATTGTTGGCTCTGAGGTTGCTGTGAATTATAGTAATTTTAAATAATCAGATTTTGAGCTGCTTATACAAAGGTGTTTTTACTTGGCAGATTTTCCATCTTTAGAAGATAGATCTTTCTGCATATGAAGGCCAGCTTATTCATCCTAGATGTATTTGGATTTTTCAATTAATGTATATTTCTTCCATAATATAAATACGTGATTTTGCAGATAATTTTAAATGGTTTGTTTCTTTGTTTGTTTTGGAAGCCGAACATAGGAAGATTAGGTATTCCTCATGGACCTTCGGGGGAAAAGGTGGCAGTAGTAACAGTAGATGATTGTGATACTGCAGTGGCTGTGCGTTTCGGAAGCTTCATTGGAAACTACTCATGTGCTGCTCAAGGAACACAGACCGGCTCCAAAAAGTAAGATTTGGTGCTTTTTCATTTTTTACATAGGCATTCAGCAACAATAAGGATCATATTCTGAAAGACCCTTCCTTACTCTTTTAGGTGCACTTAGGAGAAATCACTGTCCCATTAGAAAGAAATTTTAAGTTTATTAACAAAACTCTTGTGCCATAAAGGGGTTCATAGACCCTGTATGCATATCATGGTAGCAAACTGTGAGTTATTCAACACATGATTGAATAACCATGCCATCAGAACCTGGAGACTCTGGTTGTTTATGGGTTAAATAATCCAGAATAAAGCTAACAGCAAATCGTCATCACTATAAAGTATAGAAACCATAAAAGCAAATGATAATAGAAAAGGAAAGGGGGGAAATACAGGTTCCAGACTTAAAGCTTACAATCTAAATGAACAGATGTGGAAAAGGAACGTACAAGGGGCAAGTGACGAGCATGGACAAAGATCCTCACTGGATTATTAAAATACCTCCTTTTGCTGAGATAGACAAGTAAAAATAGATACATATTGTGAGGTGCTTTTAATAAAACTAAATAAAAATTAAATAACAGCAGAAAGTAAAAGCCTTGATTCCTCCTTTTTTGGAATATTTTCAAGATAAGGTCCTATTTAAATACCATTCTTGGATTAAATATATATGAATCATAATAAACTTTGAGAAAGTAAGCTTTGAGAAGGCAACAATCAGTAGGCCCTTCTGAAGATTTATAAATGTTTGTAAAGCTATGACAAATTTTGAGAAAGTAAAGAAATGTATGGTGAATTTATCATGGGTCCAAGGTGTTAGAGATTATATACTTATTTAATTGTGGAAATACGTATATCTGGTTAACTGGCTGTGCAAACTCTCCAGGTTATGAATATTAGAATTGCTACAAAATGTATAAATATTGTGTTGCCCTTTTTATAAACAGGGTAAATAATCATTAAAAAGAAAAATAATTTTATCCTGTTTTTTTCTGTAACAAATGCAAAGCAGTTTGCATTAATCTCCTCCTGCTGCTCTCAATATTGTCCTCACAACAACAACCCTGTGAGGTAGGATGGGCTGAGAGTCTGTGAATGGCCCAAAGTCACCCAGTTGGTTCCATGGCTGAGTGGGGACTGGAACCCAGATCGCCTGAGTCCCAGCCCCACTCTCTTATCCACTATACCACACTGGCTCTCATTGGCAAGCCATCTGAAAAAAACCACTGTGATTTCTGATTTCTTTAGGTCTTTGGATCTTACTGGCCCTTTGCTCCTTGGGGGAGTTCCAAACTTGCCCGAAGATTTCCCAGTGCACAACAGACAGTTTGTTGGCTGCATGAGGAACCTCTCCATTGACAGCAAGCCCATCGACATGGCCAGTTATATAGCCAACAATGGCACACTTGCAGGTATAAATTCCGCACAGTATAGAAGAAAGCAAAATAAAATGTTTCATTTAGGCTTGTGCCAGCTAAGCCATCTTCCTAGGAAAATAAATATTGAAATGGTGACAGGATCGATGAGCAGAACATTTGCGCATATGCAAAATAAATGTGCATTCACATGCAATTGTTTTTATATTTCCTCACTGCATCTATGCAGAGTGTGCTTTTCTGTGTGTATATAACCCCCAGACACACGCATATAGATATTCTTACAGACTTTATACATTTTCTGTGGGAACCTGCTTGAAAGACCTGTACAAATCCCATCCAAAGTAATAGAGCATGAGTCCTCAAACTACGGCCCAGGGGCCGGATCCGGCCCGCCATGCCCATTTGCACCCATCGCAGGCGTGCCTGTGCCCATATGCACACACACTGCTGCCCACCTTGCCCCACGCGCGGGAAGGCAGCGGTTTGCTTGCTCAGAGAAAACGATCTCCAAGCGAGCAAGCCACTGCCTCGTGCCCCCGCCCCATGGCACGTGCCCGCCCCCACCTTGCTTTGCCTCCCCTTGCCCTGACCCGCCTCAGCGTGCATATGTGCCTGCACACACCGCCCCTGCTCCCATCCCCCCACTGGCCCGCGCGCAGCACCGACACCACCTTTCTGGCCCACGCCCAGCACCAGCACCTTTTAACTGGCCCCCTGGTGAAAGAGTTTGAGGACCCCTGTAAGAAAGCTTTGCTGAAGTACTAATTGGTGCTCTAAGTTCATTGCAGAGATATTGAATAGCATTAGTAATGACCATCTTCCTCTAAGAAGTGAACAACAGAGACTGGCCTGAACATTTCAGTCATTTCAGGATTTACATCCAGTGCAAACTGCCTGCCACCCACCCATGTACACACACTGAAGAGAAGCTGATGACATGCTGTGCAGGTATTTCATGCAGAGTGACATGAAATACCACGTTATCCTGGTATTGACAGAAAGACATGCTGTGAGGTATTGCATGCATTCCAAGAGTAATGTTGCATTTATAAGTGTTCATAAGCCCAAATGCCACAGTGCAAGCCTCTTTGCATGTGGAACAACTTGTGTGCTTGCACTAGACCTTTTCACTGCCATTCCTTGTTCTGCATAAATGACTGCTCAAGTAAAAAGTCCTAAAGTTTAATAACTGGATTGTCAGAAAATGCTACTGGGAGGGAAGCAGTAAAGACAAAATTCAAACACGCCTGTCCCCTGCATTGGAATTGCTATCTGTTACTTTCCGCAAGTACAGTTGGAGCCATTCAGAAGGTGAACAGTGTGATAACTCACAGAATGTACTTAGCAAGGACATGTAAGTACTGCACAACCTGAGGGCTGAACTGTTCCTTTTGGAATTCCAGGTTGTTTAGCTCAGAAGAATTACTGCACCACCAACTGGTGTCAAAATGGAGGCACCTGTGTGAACAAGTGGAACACTTATGTTTGTGAGTGTCCCCTGAGATATGGTGGGAAAAACTGTGAACAAGGTAAGCAGTTGATCCATTTTCAGTGAGTGACTGAAATTGTGCATCTGGCAGTGCGTAAGGAAATGTGAATGATATCAGGAAAGCTGGGCCCTTGCCTTGTATTTTACACTATAAGTGCTTTATAAAGCCATCGCCACTGCCTCCTTCTTTTTCTTTTTTCCCCCTACCCCCTTTTCCCTTTTCCTCAAAATTAGTGTTTATCAACAATCTAATTGTCCACTGTGTTTGGATGGCACGGCAAATACGCTGCAGCATGTGCTTTATTCCCACTGTAAAAGGGATAATTAATTCCAAACAGTTGTATCTTCAGATGAAATTGAGGAAGAGCACAGCTTATTAAATTGATACAATACCATTTACTTCAGTAGGAGCAATAGTATTACACTCAGGCATCTAACCCTGACCTTAAATAGCTGAAAGTTTGAGATTTGTGGTACATACGTGGGATCTTGCTCTGCTCTGAGTTACTGTGGATGAATTTCAGCCCCTTGTTGAGTACTTATGGCCTCTAAAGTAGGTAATCACTCAGAACTGAATACTAAAGCATTTGCTAAAAAGAATGAAATTATTTAGGCACTTCTATAGTTCTGAGTGTATATGGGACAGAAAAGTATAAGAAAACTATATTAAGTGCACTTAAATAATTATTTGGGGTCCCACATAGTAGGACACACCTTAGAGATGTCTGCTTGGTAAAGGTAAACTTTGCTGAGGTAATTAATTCATGCCATCTTCATTCATGCCATCTTGTATATGGGTGGATTCAAAATGTCACCTTGGTTCCTCTACTGAGGAATCTCTGGCCTGCACATTCTTCATGGGAGCCCAGCATATTGCAATGAGTTCTGGACCATGTTCTAGAGAAAACAGTCAACCCATGTGACAGACCTGCCAAGCTTCTTAACCCATTTGAACTGTGAATGGTTTCCAGATAGCCAGCACTCCTGTGCTTTATAATAATACCAGTTATTACACAAATATGTAGGATGTGTAACAAAATGTTGCCTCATGGAGTGCTCCTTTTCTGGGTACGCCATTCCAATCCACTGGTTCTTATACTTTTAATTCCTACTTTCCCCTCTTGTGAGTGAAGGATGCTAGTTTGGCTACATAAGGACAGGTTCCCAGAACTGAATTTCCTATTAATATGTATAATAGTCATGATATTTATTATAATATTTATTTATTTACCTATTTGTATCACACATTAAATGCTATAGTATATATGTTCTAAAATATGAAGAAACTTGCTGGAGATACAGATTTTTTTTAAAAAAATATAGATTGGTTATGGGTAGTTCTCTTTCAGAGAAATCTGTCTGCTTTTACCAACAATTTCTGAGAAACTGCTTGAGAGCTTACAAAGAAATTCAGGATTCTCAGAACATAGATTGTAAACCATTATTGCAGACTAATCAATAAAGTGTGTTGTGTTGAAATGGAATATCTTTTTGAAGTGCTAGAATACAGTTCTGTTGTCATTCATGGTACTGTAAACAAAACGTTGTACAGCTGGTGGAAGAGAGAGGCTTTTCATAGTCCTTTTGAGCTTGGGAAAAATGATCTAGCATGTTGTTGCTATTATTCTAAAATAATTAAACTTTAGGTTTATTATTGTCAAACCAATGAACTCAAAAATACTTCTTAACAGCACATTAATACCTAAGCATAGTTTGAGTCAGAACCTATTTGACTCATGTTAAATAGCAGGTTATTACTCCTTTTTGCAGTCCATTCCCATAAATTCAATTGGAGCAGACTCATAACTCTATATTCTTGTATAGTATAACTGCATTTCCTGCCAATAATTTGCTTAAAAAGTTTTTTATTATTCCTGGCATTTTATTGTCTGGAGGCCCCAAATCAATTACTTATTTCCCGTAACGTATCTGTGAGACAGAACATGCATAAAGGGAAATAAGCTATGTCAATAAAAGAGAACTCATAGCAGTTATGACAAAGGTGAAGCAAAAAGTGAAGTGGTGGGAAGTATTTTAGAAAAATCACATGTAATCATGATCTCAAAGGTAGAATATCTGGTATGCATAGGACATACCAGCCATGTGTGCCAGGTTCACTCTAGCCCTCCTGGAACAATGCAAATAGGGTTTATCCAGTGTTTGATAGACCTTTATAAATAGCTGGCATGCCTGCTATAGCTGAGGGACTAGAACTTGATAGGCCCCCATGCCTATTGAATATTTTAAATGTAATATTCTTATTGGATAGTTACACTGTAAAGTCAATATTAGAACCTACGCATGTGTTATACCTACAGCTGGGACCAATATGCCCATTACTCAGACTGCAAATCTTTTCTGTGGCAAGCTTTACTAGAATTTGCTTCATTACACAGGCAAATGCTTTGGGGTGCATCATCAATACTTATTCTACACATTGTGAAGGTTAGCTTCAAAAATAATGAGAGTTATAAATTGCCATAAATATTTTTAACATTTATATACCATAAGTAATAGTATAGGTGATACAGATCAGAGTAACATGGGCACAGCCCAGAAAGTCCTGCAAACTATTTTGTGGCAGTTTTCTAAGCCTATAGTGCCAAGAATGCTCACTGTACCTGCTGTTTGTTAGTTGGTACTGCATTCCACAAGTGTTAGATCCCTGATTCCTCATGTTTTTCCATGCAGGGAAAAGTGTCGGATGTAGTGCCATATACGGTTAAGGCACTGTTTTCTTGGAATTGTACATGTGAAGGCTCTACTATGCTATTATCATTTTTAAAGTATAGCTCTTGCTTCCCTGGAGGTTCAGAAATGTTGCCAAAGCATAAGTGTGTGAATAGCACAAAAACCTGCCATTAACTTATTCATGAACGTCTGCCTTATTTTTTATTCTTTCTGGCAAATATTCATTAACAAGCTTTCCTTATCAAAAGTTACATAGGTGAGCTCTAAGTCTATTCTTAAATCACCATATTTAGGAGTATTGTGCATCTTCTGAGAACTTATTGTTGTCGTATTTGTTTATAGCTAGAAATGTCATAATAAAGAAACATGTTTTTTGCTGTTTTAGATATTTCAATAAAAAGGTTTTTTTTCCATTTTCCCTGTTGCCCTGGTTGCAGTAATGCCTTTTGTTCAGCGTTTTACTGGGGAGAGTGTCATCATCTGGAGCGATCTTGATATAACTATTTCTGTGCCCTGGTACATTGGTCTAATGTTTAGAACCCGGAAGGTGAATGGCATGTTGATGCAAGCAAATGCAGGGGTGTCATCCAAGATCAACATTCAGGTAAGTTGGTCCACTAATACAGCAACCAGAAAATGTCCCAAAATAACACTTGACAACACAGAACTAAAATATGGATGCGTATTCGTGAAGCACGATCCTATCCATGTTTACTCAGAAGGAAATCCCACTGTGTCCAATGGGGATTACTTCTTCATGGGACTAGTACTACAACTTTGAACTCAAAGTGCTTTCTATATCAAGAAATGGAAATGGATTACCTTGTTTACCATATTTGAACCAGGGCTGCAGGTAGATGAATCTGCACAAATGTGCTTGATGTGGGGAAGGGGCTGTAATTCAAAGGATTCTGCTGCCAGTGACCCCACATGCCTTTCATACTCAGAAAACATGTGGTGTTAAATCATTTCATAAAATTCCTAGGAGAGATCAGAGGGGAAAAGTTCCATTGCTCTAGTTCCATTGCTGTGAACATAACCTTGGCTTTAATCTAGATGTTTATGAAACAAAATAACAGCCTGACTTCAAATGGGAGGCAGAATATTAGTGCAACTATTTTAAAAATAATTTTAATAAAAAATATTAGGATAGTCCAGAAGATCAACAGGATTATTGTATGTGACAAGGAATATAAATATAAGTCGTTTTTGCTGGCAGTTAACAATAGTTATGTCTACTCTCAACAGATACTGGATAAATATGTAGTGTTTGAAGTCTATGATGGTCTGAATCAGGTGGCCAGTTTGAAGATGACCCAGTCCCGAATCAGCGATGGCGAGTGGCATCACTTGCTAATAGAGCTGAAGAGTGCAAAAGATGGAAAAGATATAAAGTACTTGGCTGTTGTGTCTCTGGACTATGGGATGTATCAGGTGGGGTGACATCCATCATCTTTTAGTGTAAAAATGGGTATCTGTGCTATGGGCAAAAATGGGTAGATCAGAATGGGCGATTGTGAGTAATCCTACATGGCAACACAACTATGACAAAGGTGAAGTTCTTTCATCTTCCATCTCGGATGGATGTGGGAATGTGCTTTTTCCCTGGCATTGCCTGATGGATTATATGGTCATGACTTCCATCATGCTGTGACTGCAGAGCAAATTATTCATGGAGCAAATGGTGACTGTTTGAATTGGTCTGTGCTGCAGTTGGAGCTTTTAAAATGCTTCCTTATCAGAAGCGCATGATTAGCTCCATTACCACTTTAGGTTTATTTTTGATTATGCTTTTTCTGTTTATCAATGAAGTATTGTAACTGAGAATTTGTAAGAAAGGAACAATCTCCTTTAATCTGTTTTTCTTTTCAGAGCACTGTACAGATTGGAAATCAGTTACCTGGACTAAAAATGAAAAGCATTATTGTGGGAGGTGTCTCTGGAGATCAGGTCTCTGTACAGCAAGGCTTCTATGGCTGTCTCCAGGTGAAAACTGAAAATAAGTAACCATGAGATGTTACCTATGAGAAGCATTCTTGTCTTTTCTGAGAACAGGCGGATTGCAGGGGTGGGGAGTGAAGGGCAAGAGAGAGAGAGATTGGTCTTGGTATGCTTTTTTTCGTAGAACTAAGTACTGGACGTAAGTTTAATATTCAAGTTACAAGGACAATAAGCATAATCCTATTTGCATAAGTGTGTCTTTAAGCCCCTTTGATCTTAATTAAATTTACTCCATCCAAATTCTCTCCAATTCTTGACTTGAGCCTTTTTACATCTAAGTATTTGGCTAGTGATTCATCAGCTTTCATTTGATTTGGGGTAAAGCACAGATACGGTCCTGTTAAACTGTGATTTGGCATGATATCTGAACAAAATTAGGAGCTTAGACCCTCTCAGTTCCATTTTCCATTAATGACAGGTCAGCATTTCATATAAGCTTTAAACTGTTCTTAATTTGCTTATGGTTTGAAGCTGAAATATTGCAGTACTGCATAATGTGCTGGGATTCTACTCTGATGTTGCTGCTGTTTTTGCCCCTTCCCCTCTTTTTCAGGGAGTGAGAATGGGGGAAACATCAACAAATGTAGCTACGCTGAACATGAAACAGGCACTCAAGATTAATGTCAAGGAAGGCTGCGAAGTGGACAATCCCTGTGACTCAAACCCTTGTCCTTTGCACAGCTATTGTAGTGATGACTGGGACAGCTATTCGTGCATCTGTGATCCAGGTAATGATGGCCCAAAGCAAACTACATGTCATCTTCCTCATTCTTATTATGGCTAGTGGATTCTAGAACTCTGTGGTCATGATTATTTTGATACAGTGTGGGAAGTTGGTAACAATTCCTGCCCTACACATGCAGGTCTATGGGTTGTACCTTCATTGTTCATACACCCATAAACTCAGGGGCAGGAATTAGGGTTGATGCTCAGGAATGAGCATCTAGTGAAGGAAAGGAGGAGGAGCAGAAGTGCTCTTTGTCTCTCTGTCCCCACCCCACTCTGCATTTTCACTTAGACAGGCTTTTTTGCCTATCTTGCAAACGTGTTTTGAGGGAGATGGAAGAAGGCTGGAGAGGCCTCAGGATAGTTCCTACCCACCAGAACCCTCCCTTTGCCTTCTGGAGACAAGATAATGTGCTGTTTTCTGTGTTGGGGGGTGGGGGGTACAGGTGGAGATCTGATTCCTAGCTGCAAAGCTGGAGTGCTATCTTCAACCTCAGACTAAAATTCTGAAATATCCTATGGCCTTTCAGATTGTCTCAGGATCACAGGATTGCTCTCTCCATTTTCTAAAATCAAGAATGCCGAACAGCTAAATGGTGCCACCCCCCGCCCCCCGTGCTCTCCATTATGCTCTTAGCTGGAGTGCTTTCACTTGCATGAATTATCTTACACAAAAAAAGCAATTTTCCTTTGTAAAATTATACAAAGATTTTTTTATTTGCATGCTTTTCTTTACATTTGCATGTGTTTATAAACTTTTGAGAGTTCTCTCCTTGTTACATAATTTAATTTCATTGAAGAGAATTAATCATTGACATGGACTTGTACATAGTAACAGAATAAAATGAGATCTTTTGGTATTTGTCTATATATGAGTCATTTTTATTTGTTTATATTGCAAAATATTTTTAAAGACTGTGTCTTTATGTGATTGGATTCCTTTCAAACTGGGTTTTCTGACTTTGTAATACAGATTGTGTAACTCACTGAGCCAGAGTTTATGTGTGTTTGCTTTAGAAGTACGTTTCACTCATTAAGATTAGTATAGGTTTTGCTCTAGGGTTAGAATATATTTTACATGATGTTTACTATATGGTCTATTCCCACGTAACTGCACGTGGGAGTATAGCATTTGAATGGTTTCTTCAGTGTTTCACATTATTGTCATTGAGCATATTGCTCAATCATTTTATAAAACTTCTAGAAGAAAAGAAGTATATTTTTATTCATGCCTTATGCAAAATAATAATAATCATCTTCCTCATCAGAGGCCCCCAGTGTAATTGCAAATATTGAAAACTCTGACCTTGCTAAAAATTTGCACATAACTCAAGAGATGTTATCAGTGTATGCATTTAAAATAGATTGCCTTCCAAAGACACACAAATCACAAATGAAGCAGTGGCTGTTATGTGTCTATAACCCTGTTTCCTCAGGGTACTTTGGGACAGACTGTGTTGATGTGTGCAGCCTGAACCCGTGTGAACATGTCTCCACCTGCGTCCGTAAGCCAAGCTCTTCTCATGGATACACCTGTGAATGTGGGCAAAGCTACTACGGACAGTACTGTGAAAGCAAGTAAGCCAGTGATACTGACAGATTCTTTTCCTTTCCTTCTGCACCCTGTGCCACCCCTCACTTACACATCATTTCTTTGAGTAGAATGATATGCCAAGGAACTGCCCCAAATTATTTAAACCAACAGTACATTTAGCATAGAGCTTTCTTTGTGCTTTTTCTCATATTCGTTTTTTGCCATGCACAAAAAGGAACATATTTATAGCACAGATTTTGCTTCATGTATAGTAAAAAGTAGAAATACTGCTGCTATTTTATTCATTTCCAGAGGGGTAGCTGTGTTACTCAGTAGAAGCAAAAACAACCATGAGTCTTGTGGCACCTTAAAGAATAATTTGTTAGCCTTTCAGTTTTCACAAGACCCCTTGTTGCTTTTGTTGCTGCAAAGTAACAGAGGTACCTCTCTGGAAACTGCTATATGAATTTAGCCATATGGAGTTGAAATTATTTTTCATGCATTTCATTTTCATTGCCATTTTCTACATATATTTAAATAGCAACACCTGAAATAGAGTGTGCTTGCCCTGTTTGGTTGTCTGCTTTCATTTAATTGCCTCAAAATATTGTAAAGAGGACAAGCTGTTATAAATGGTGGGCAAGATACTGTTTTATAACAACAAAAATTAAGAAAGATTTTTAATTTTTTTTTCTAGGATTGATTTGCCTTGTCCCAGAGGCTGGTGGGGAAATCCCATTTGTGGGCCATGTAACTGTCAAGTTAATAAAGGATTTGATCCTGACTGTAATAAAACTAATGGAGAGTGTCGTTGTAAGGTAAGGAAAGGCTTGCTCACTTTATGTGGAACTAATATTCAGGCTAGCACATAACAAAATACTTGTAGTTCAAGAATGAATGTGTTATGTTGATGCTAGGTATGAGAATTTTGGTTGCATGCTTGGTTTCAGCATTTATATTTCAAGAAAAAGATGTTACATTTTCTTGACAGTAGGTCATTTGTACTCCTGCCAATGTTTTGCTTCCATTTGGGATGGTTATTACCAGGGCTTTTTTTGTCATAGAACGCACCGGAACAGCCTTCCGGCACCCTTTTTTCCCCAGTGGATTTTACGAAGTGATTTTGAATTGCCACCCGTCAGGCATAGCAGATCAGCAGCAAACATCATTAACATAGTGCCTGCGGGCTGCTTTTGTGTCTGCTATCTGATAGTGAGATAGTGAGGGCGCTGCTCGGCTTGGGATTGGTGTGTGTGGTCGCACGCTGAGTGCTTACTGCCGGCGGCAACGTGAGTTCTGGCACCTTTTTTTTTTTTTTTTACAAAAAAAGCACTGGTTATTACAACAGATTACATACATCTTCCATGTTAGTGGGACTTCTCCTGATCAGCAGTAAACTTAGCGCCCACTGCACATTATGAACTAAGAGTGTACCTGATCACATCTGAAGCAGCTAAGTGTGTTTGTTGCATTTATACACATGATGTGATGAGACCAGCTTCATCCCATTCAGTTGAATAAAAAAGTGGAGTGACTTCAGATAGGTTGAACAACTCAGACATATTTTTTTCTATACGGAAAGGAAATCTTAGAGGCTGAAATGCAGGCTTGAATGATTTACACATGATGCAAAACTGAGGCTGAATAATGAAATTCAGTATTTGCTTGCTTTTGGAAAACGCTTTCCTCAGGTCTAGCTCTTTAGGCCAATGTTTCCATATCTCTTTAAGCATACTTTTATAAAGTAGTCTTTAAAACATCTCAATGTGCAGGTGTCTGTTGACTGATTTGAAAGGATCAATAAATTTCTCTTCTTCTTTTTTCCAGACAAATTATTACAGACCACAAAACAGTGACACCTGTTATCCATGTGACTGTTTCCCTTCTGGTTCCCATACTCGTACTTGTGACATGGAAACGGGACAGTGTCCCTGTAAACCAGGAGTAATAGGACGACAGTGCAATCGCTGTGATAATCCCTTTGCTGAAGTTACTGTTCATGGTTGTGAAGGTACCTCCATGATGTTAAGCTCATTTGATGTGTTTGAGGCCTTGCTTGTGGCGTGAGCCCATCTCTACCCTTTTCGCTTTCCAACAGATCTAGGCAAAAGGTTTCCAAAATACAGTAATTTACAGAGCCTAGGCTAGCTTTGCAATACAGAGTGAGCAAATTGTTAACAAGTAGCATCTATCAAGTAGTGATGTCCCTGATTTGTGGAGTTACCTCTTGCCCATGTCAGGACTTGATTCCGAACTGAATTCTCTTCTTCCCTTTCTTCCAAAAAGGACTGGTTCCATCCTCATGGAAGTTCATGAGGATGGTGGACCAGAAGGTAGAAGCTTCAGGCATTACTTAATTGGCCTGCTTGCATGGCTTGACTGGGTTAAGTCACCCCTCCCCAATTTCTACACTGTTTTTTCCCAAACCAGAGGCTGTCTGGATCTTATCGGCCACTGTACTAATCTTGATTGTTAACCTTGGTATTTACGTAACACATTCCAACCCATTCTTCTTCCAGTTTACCTTTAGAGTCTGATCTTTATAGCTTAAAGTCCTGTATTTTGAGAGAAGCAGGGTTTGGATTGCTCTGGATGGTGAAAAAAGGCTAGATATTGTCCCTAGAAGTAATTGTTTTCTGAACAGACACTGACAGAAAACATTTATATTGAAGTTCAAATTGAATTCTCATTTATTTAATAAATTTGAGAAACCCAAAATTTGAAAAATTTGAGAGGGAGGGGGAAAGGGCTACAGTCATTCCTAAGGCTGGTCAGAGTGACTGAGCCCCTGCATCCAAGATCACTGGGGGCTGTTGATGGAGAGCTGTTGCAGTCAAAGCTAATTGATAAAGTATGGAGAGCGATGCAGCCTGTTACCTAGTACCCAATAACCAAGTGCACCATTTCATTGAGCCTTCAGAGGAGAATTAGCTGTGACAGGAGTACCTGCACTAAACTCAGAGCCAATACATAATGAGAGTGCTGAGAGTTTGAGCCCCAGAGTGGGAGCTTTTAATTCTTCTCATACATAGAATGAGCTGCATATTTGTAAATTTTAGTGTTAATATGAAAAATTCTTGAACAATGCCCCACCCTCAGCAGAAACTACTTTCAAGATTGTGGGTCATGATTCTTCAAAATATCCTGTGAATGGGTACCTCTACTCTCATAGTCTTGCCAGTCAACATGTTTACATTTTAAGACCAGGACTCTTGCAGGACCATCTGTCTCTGCATGTGCCAAATCGCGTATTAAGGTCTTCTGGCTAGGATCTTCTGCAGGTTCTCCTCCTGCTCTGTGAAGTGAGATGGGTGGCAACCAGGGAGAGGGCCTTCTGGATGGTAATAACCTCGGTTACAGAGTGCTTCTCCAAAGTAGTTCCCATAGTGCCTACTTTGTAGTCTTTTGCCAAACAGGGAACTACCAGCGCCTCAGCCTTTTTGGATGAATTTTAGCCCTCCTCTTTTTTATAAGATCTTGAAGCCTTTTCAGCTTCTGTGTTTTATGGTTGTTCTGATTTGCTTTGCATGTATTTAATTTGTGTTGGCCTTTCCTTTCATATAAACTACCCTGGCTGTTAGAGAAGGTTCTTAAATGAATAAGTGAAATTGCATTTTATAATACACAGATATTGTCCATCCTTGATGTGTCGGCATTCATCAGGTAGTAAATTGGACAAATTTAACATACCCAAAATATTCAGATTAGCTACAACTAATCATACCTTTCTGATGTTGCCCTTTATCATAGAATACATTGCTTGCTGTTTGTTTCAGAGTTCCTTATACATCAATTTTAGAAATGTTTGAATCAAGTTAGATGGACTTACTTTAAGAGGCTAAAAGCTTATCACTTCTCATTAGCTATAGATTTCTCTTTGTTCCTATCAAAGCTAAAAACCAGTGTTTGATATTTGTTGAATTAATATCCTATTCTACTCCTTTCCCAGTATAGAGCAACACTGTATGAGACACCCTGGCATAATGATACATTAATATGTGGCCCCATCGAAGCAAAAATTCCTTGCACTTTCAGTACAGAGACCCCTAACTACCTGTATATTCTTTCCTTCCACCTTATAGTGGTTTACAATGGATGCCCCAAAGCATTTGAGGCTGGCATTTGGTGGCCGCAAACAAAATTTGGGCAACCTGCTGCTGTGCCTTGCCCCAAGGGATCAGTAGGTAAGTCACAGTGATAAGGTATTAAATGTTTTGTTGTTGCTTCCATTTCAGAAAAAGGGAAATTCAGAAAGTCTGATTTACATGTGCAAGAGAATTTATCTTCAGAGCCTTGAACCTAAGATGCAACAGACAGTACAATCTAGGTTCAGTTATTAAGAATATATTTAAAAATACATTTTGATAATACAATTGAAAGGCAATTATTACAGTTATATTAGATAATGAATTGTAATATGATGGGGGAGACAAAGAAATAAAAATCCTATCTGAAAATACAGTCAGAATATTCTCCTTTATTCTGTAGTATTATTAAATGTTTTTCATTCTGATATACAGGATTAATGCGATACCTTAAATGGTCAAAAATTGGCAACCAACCTTTTGGCCACTGGTGTAAAATTCCATAACCTGTTAAAATGATCCTTTAATATAAGCATTAATTCATAAACAGTACTTATTTTTAAGGTGACAGAAAGCTATACTTCCTGAATTTTCTGGCAAATTAAATATGGCAGTAAAATCACCATATATCTTACAAAACTGGTTTTCTTTTAAAGGAAATGCTGTTAGACATTGTAACAGTGAGAAAGGCTGGCTTCCCCCTGAACTTTTTAACTGCACTACCTTTGGCTTTGTGGATCTGAAAATCATGGTAAGAACAGGGTGGTTTGAAGGGCGGCAGCACTTACTGACTTTCCATTATAATACTTCAATATCACTGAAGAAGTTTCAGGGGTCATTGTGCTCCCACCAGGGAGAAACTGCTCACTCATTTTCCATGCATGGATTTGCATGTAGGAGATGAATGTGTGGAGGCCGCTAAGCACTGGTTCACATTGTCCTGCAATACGCAGCAAGCAGTGCGCATGGTGGAGCTCAGAAATAAGTATTAGTCCTCTTCTCCCACGTGTGGTGTGTTAGGTGTGTACATCTGTATTCCATTCAGCCCTGCGCCAAAGAGAAAGTGTTTATTACTTAAGTCCAGACCTCTGAATGCATGTTTTTATTTTGTATGCATCAGAATGAGAAGCTTCTCCGCAATGAGACCAGCTTGGATGGTGACAAGTCAGTGCAGATAGCCAGGGTGCTTCAGAATGCCACTAATCACACGGACACCTTCTATGGGAATGACGTGCGAACAGCCTACCAGATGATGATCAGGGTGTTGCAGTACGAGAGCCAGCAGCAGGGGTTTGATCTGGCTGCAACAAGGGATGTGGAGTTCAATGAGGTAAGAAAGGTTGGGCAGATACCAAGAGAACACAGGTCCTGTCACCTGGGGTGTCAGGGCCATGGCAGGGATGTGGGCAGCCAGAGAGGAGCGAGAGAGGCACCAGGGCAACAGAACTTCAGGAAAGACAGAGTCCAAAAGCAGGGTTGAATAGAAAGTCCAAATCACAGTCGTCGTGCAGATTGAAGTCATGAACCAGAAGTTTGCAAGAGGGCAAAACAAGGACGTGATCAGGAACTAGCCAAGGGTCGAGACACACAAGGCAAGGAAAAGAAACCACCAAGGATTGCTCCTTTTCATTCCCCAACCCTGCAAATCCAGTCATTTTCTGTATAAATGTAGAACAGTGGCAAAAATAAAGTTGTAAATATATGATAGTGGAACAAACTTTTGTATGCATCATTAGCACAACAAAAGCAGCACAACAGATTTTGATTAACCTGGTTTGTGTGGTTTCTTATTAAGGTTCATAACAAAGTAATGCAAGAGCTCCATCACAGAGGAAGTGGAATAAAAGAATACTGCATACATCTTAAAAGAATACTGAATAAGGCTCTTGCACCTTTGAAGTGGGAGTAGAACAGAAGTTGACTGTTGAAATGATCTCAGCACTATTATAGGGCACCAGTGAACATTACTCTGCATTCAGATTCCATTAAGAGCTAATTTAATTCATCTTTCAAAATAGCCAAGCCCTAACTATTCACAGCCTCTCTCTAACAAAAAATGCGTTTAGCAGATAACGGAAAGATGGATACATGAATATAGCTCCACAAAATGAATTGCAGCTTTTCTTTTACTTTCAGAGCTGAAGTTATTTGCAACAAGGAAAATCAGTTCTTTCAAATTAAGTGTATTTACTACAGGCTTTGTTTCCCACTGGTGTGCCAAATCCCCCTAGTGCTAAATACCAACTTTAAAATACTAAAAGAGGAACCCAAATGAAAAAGATGGTTGTGAAAAACTGGTGCAGAATCTGCTGTTCCCCAGGAACTTTCTATAAACTATAAAATAGTGTCCTTTCCAGCCATGGAGCCTACACTTCCACTTATGTGCCAGGACAGCTGTAAATATTACACCCCCATGTTGAGACCTGCAAAAAAGTACTTCTTAATCTATGGGATGATCCAGTGATGTGCAAATATCTTCATACTGACTCCACTAATTGATAGAAATACTCCATTTTGGTGCAAAGATGTGGCGTTCATTTGTGCTGATATATGGGAGAGGATAATTTTTAATATTATGCTCACTACACTGAGTGTCATCATCAGGAGCTAAGTTTCCGTAACTCCCATGAGGCTTGTGATAACATTGAAATTGTCCCCAAATTGTAGATCCAAGAACACAGGAAGGTGCAGCATGGTCTTTCCTCTAATTTGCAAGCAAGCTTTGCTTAATTCAGATGTGCAGCCATGGAGGCCATTGAGGTGGTGTAGAACGCAGTTCTTGGCCATTACTGTCGAGCAACCTCTGCAGGGGAGCAGCCTCATGCCCCGGACAGCGTGCATCATTTGGGAAAGTTAGGAGATGACAGGTTCAGCATTCTGCAGACACAGAATTGCTGCATAGCTTGCGGTGTCAGTCTGGGCTTTCTAACAATACTGACCCATGCTTACATTTTGCACTGTTCAATGGACAGCAGCCCCCCACCTGCAGCTTGCTCAGGCAACCCTGCCTCTGTGACTGATGTGTGGTGCCCACCAGTGAGGTTCCCACATCAGTTGCTGCTCAGCAGCAGAGGGTGAGTATTATTTTTGCCTGAGTTCAGCAACCACCCTTGCTTTTCAGCCTGGTTTCCTCCTACAAGTGATCCATGGGTTTCTTGCAGTGAGTTTGCCATTCTTACCTTGGTACAGGTGAAATGCTAAAAGCAAAAGTCCACATCGGTTAAGCGGTTTTGTTTCTTTTAAACCAAACAAGAGTAGCTCAAGTTTCATTTGCCAGCTTACTTGAAGCAACAATATTACTTGTTTTCTTTTGACAGAATGTATTGGTCTGCCATTTTGAGCATAACTTATTTCTCTTCCTTTCCTAGAATATCATAAAAGCAGGTAGTGCTCTACTGGATCCTCGCACCAAAGAACATTGGGAACACATCCAGAGGACGGAAGGGGGCACCGTGCACTTGCTGAAACACTATGAGAACTATTTCAGCAATGTGGCAAGAAACATGAAGAAAACGTACATGAAACCTTTCATCATCATTGCCCCAAACATGAGTAAGCAACAGCTGGACAATTGTCATTCTTCTATGAGTTGCAAGTTCCTATATCTCAGAATTGAGGCTGCAGTGCTTACTAAATTAATTGATTAAGTAATCAAGTATAAAAGTTTTTAATCAATTTAGGATGCAATCCTATGCAAGTTTGGACAAAAAGAAGTCCTTTTTTGTCTTAACTTATGACAAAATGTTAAGTTTGGTAATGTTAATGTAAAATACTATGTTTGACATTGTGACTGGCTATCCTGCCGTTTGGTTGCCACATATGCTACGGCCAGAAAGAGTATTGTGGCATGCTTGGATAGAAATGGGAAGGACTGGCTTTGGCACAGATTTAGGGCTCTTTGTTTTCTTCTCTGTGTTGGCTGCTTGCTTCCCAGCTCAGCAAACTTGAGTCATACTTACACAGACGCACAGTGAAGGGAGGCAGGATGTGCAAGAGTGGTGCTAACTCTTTTCCTGACTTGACTTGTGGCATGCCTGCTCAAAACATTAGTTCCTGGCATATTGTTGTTAAGTTCTGGAACAGATACGTGGCTTTTTACAGGTGTAAAACAGCAACACTCAGTGCTCAAAGATAAAGGTTGAGTTCACATGTAAAACTAAGCCACCCCTCTGAACACGGTACTATCGGCTTCCTGTGGGTTGTTCTCCCCATCCTTCCCCATCAATCCTGCACTGGCTGTCGCATTTATCCCAGGAGATTTTATAAAAGAGCCTGTCTCCTCAGTCCACCCCTCCCTCTTCCCTTTCTTTGTTGATTCAAGAAGTACAAACATTTTATTTTATTTTGATTTGATAATGATTTTACAATTGATTTCGTTTTATCTTTTTTGGCCAGTCTTTCACAATGGCACTCTAAGAATGTCCGATATGTGTGTTCTTTCCTGGTCAATTTCCTTGTAGCCGTGGAAGGGAGCACTGAAATGGGTAACATACAAGGACATTGCTAAGATGAGGCTGCCTCTCAGCTAATTTGCGCACAGTTGCAAAGGACCAGGGGGAAATGATAGTAAAAGAATGGTGGGACCCATCAGCACAATGAAGCACCAAAATGGGAAGGGACGGGAAGCCAAGGGACTAAGTACACCAACAGCAGGGGCACAAATTTTCATCTTCACAACATAATCTCCTTGCCTTTTATTACTGAACTGACTGTGCTGGTTTCTCTCTTTTCAACACTTCCCTGTTTCTCCAGCTATTCCATAAAAGAGAGACATTTGCTGTTCCTTTAGAGAGCATTGCTGTTTCCTGACAGATTTTCTAAAACCCCAAGAAAGTGGCTGTGTGTGATGCACAGGCCCCAAAGGGGTTGGGGGCGGGGGGCATGTGGAAGTATAGCTGGTGCCGGTACTGCATTTGCCCTCTAGGGCTTTAAACAAATTCATGGCATTTGGAAATTTTTTGGACTGGGAAGTAAATGGAATGAAAAAGTAAGCAAACATAGTAGTTGAGAAGTAAATGGGGGTGAAATGCAAAGAAATTAAAGTTCTTCGTCGTGGCCTCTGTGCATCACACATATGAGTGCTGCGCCTGTGCAGTGCCTAGGCCAGAAAGATTGAAAGCTAACGGTTTTGGCGGGAAAACTCCGCTCCCCTCCCCACTTGGTAGTATATATAGAGCGGAGTATCCGCCATTTTCTCCAGTCTTTTGCGACCGCTGTTCGCTGTGCCTCGTGCCTGTTCGTCTCTCGCTTGACTCAGTATTGTTCATTGTTTCTACTGTTCTAACAGTCTTGCTCTTATTCCAAGTTATCATTCCCTTGTTACAGCTTTATCTCTCCTTTTTTCTCTTCGTTCCTAAATTAAAAAAACAAAAAACAAAAATATTACTTTTCCCTCTTTCCTATACTCTAATTCTTCTGTTTCTGTGATGGCATGGCGGGTGGCCTTCCGCAAATGTGCGGAATGTGGGTCCAAAATGTCCCCGGCGGACCCTCACAACTTGTGCCTCCTTTGCCTCGGTGAGGGGCACAGGACGGATAAATGCCGCCATTGCCTTGCTTTTACTAAGCAAGCGCGAAAAGATAGGGAGAACCAATTGCGAAAACTCCTATGGGACCAAGCGCTGATGCAATCAGATCAGCCTGCAGTAAAGCCCGGGCCAGCGCATGCTCCATCTACTAAGCGCAAGGCCGTAGCTTCGACCGCGTCGGCTCAACGCCCAGCCTCTGCCTCGGGCATGCCCGGACAATGCCCTTTGCCCACACCGCCCATGCCTCAGCTGCATCCATCGGTTGATGGAAATTCCCCCTCCAGGGCTCGGCAGTCTTTCTCCCCTGCATAAACAACGGGAAAAGAGGAAGCACGGAGGATCGGATCAATCTTTGGCCCATAAGAAGGCGAAGAAAGACAAGGTGGCTAAACCACCCCATAAGAAGAGGCATAGGGATTCGGATTTGACGGCACCATCGATCCTGGCAGCAGCTTCGGTACCAACACTGTCGGTACCGATGCTTCAAGCGGCGATGCAGGTTACCCCACCAGGGTCTCCAATACAACCTGCTCCACAACAGGGCCTACCTGCTCAACTGCCTGAGGAGCCGCATCGTGAGTTGATATCCAATGGGGCGATTCAAGACTCTCCTCCTAGGGCTCGTTCTCCGACTCCTATGCCCACGGCGAGAGCCCGAGACCAATCTCCATCACCACCACCTCAGTCCCAACTGGACGAGAGGCGGGAAGAAGGATGGTTCCAGCCCTACTACAGCTACCCGTCGGGTTGGGAGGACTACCACTCCTTTGGATTTCGTCCTCACCCACAGGACCGTTCCTCGCCGTCCACCCATGAGGATATGCCATCCACCTCTAGGCGAGTTGAACCCGAACGTCCCACTTCACCAGGGACCTCCTCGTCAGAGCCGTATCACCTCGGGCCCGACTCTGACTTGGATGCTGATTCCACCTCCCTGGTTGGCCTTATTACATCTCAGGGACCATCATCGCCTGAAGAGCCCCACATCTCATTCAGGGAGCTCATGTCTAGACTTGTTCGGTCACTCGAGATCGAGGCGCAACACCAGCCAGATCCAAGCACCAACAAGTTCTACGACATTGTCAGGGGAGAGCAATCACCTGCAATTGTCTTACCGCTTATTACAACTTTGTGGCAGGCAATGACACAACCTTGGGACTTGCCTTCACAGACTCAGCCCACGTTAAGAATGTAGGAATCTATGTGTCGAGTCCGAGAAAGCGATATACTCTTTTTACTCCATCACCCTAAGCCGAACTCTGTGGTGGTTGAATCATCCCAGGGCAGGGAAGCCAGAGGACGTACCACCCCCAGGGACAAGGAGGGTTGCAAGATTAATACCCTGGCATGCAGGGTCTATGCGGCTGCAGGACTTGGGCTTCGTATGTCTAACTATGAAGCCACCCTGGCCAGGTATCAATTCTTTATTATGCAGAGGCTAAATAACATTGTCGCTCCCCTACCTGAGCAACAACGGGATCTGGCTAGGACTTTCATTAAAGAGGGTATGCAAGTCGCCATACAGCAATTATCCACAGCACACCACCATGTGGATATGGACTTGAGAGCTCTCGTGGGGGCCGTTTCACTGCGAAGGCATGTCTGGTTGTGGAACTGCAATTTCCCTGACGAGATGAAGCGGCAAATAGAAGAAATACCCTTTGACGGCTCCAGGCTCTTTCATTCGCACACCGATCATAAGCTAAAGTCCATCCATGAATCCCAAATTACGGCAAGACGGATGGAATTGCCCGGACAACAGAAACATAAGTGGTCATGGTCGCGCCCATCCTACCGCTACCAGCCGCCGCAGAAACAGTACCAACAATGGCCGCAACGCAGAAGGCAACAACCCCATCAGTGTTTCCCACAGATCTGCCAACGTTTCGATACAGAGAAGCGTCAACGCTGATGGGACAGGCGAACCTCTCCTCCACCTCCACACCCACCATTCCCCCTCCCTTTTGGGGAACGGCTGCAAGGCCGACTCCCCATTTGGGAGTCCATCACATCTGATCAGTGGGTCCTGTCTATTATTCAGCTCGGATACAGAATAGAATTCGATACCGTTCCTTCGTCGAGCCTGATTCGATTTACACCACGCTCTCCAGTGCTAGTGGACGAAGTACACCAACTGCTTCGTAAGGGTGCGATTCGATGGATTTCCAGCTCCGAAGGGCTTCACGGATTCTATTCTAGGTATTTTACAGTCCCAAAACGGGATGGTGGTCTTTGTCTGATCTTGGACCTCCGAAATAACATATTTATCAAACCAAAGAAATTTCAGATGACTACCCTTCAAAATACCCTTCCGCTGCTGAGGAGAGAGGATTGGTTCACCTTCCTTGATTTAAAGGATGCCTATTTCCATATTTCGATCCATCCAAGTCATAGGCGTCTTCTGCGTTTCACCGTTGGGTCCAACATGTACGAGTTCAATGTCCTCCCGTTCGGTTTGGCCACGGCTCCGAGGGTCTTCACGAAATGTATGGCACCAGTGTGTGCTCATCTTTGAGTTTAGGGCATCCAAGTTTACCCTTACCTGGATGACTGGCTTATAGGGTCACAGACCCGTGAAAGCCTAATGTCAGCCGTTGAGGTTACTTGCACACTGTTGGACAATCTTGGACTTTGTATTAACGGTGAAAAAGCATCCCTTGTCCCTACACAGGTGATAGACTTCATCGGAGCTCGTCTCAATTCCACGGTAGCGAGGGCATTCCTCCCTCCAGCTTGTCAGGACAGCCTCCACTTCTGTATTTCTCGGATCTGACAAAACAACGTAGTTACAGCGCTCTCAGTCCAGAGACTTTTGGGTCATATGGCTGCCACAGTTGCCATTGTCCCACATGCCAGGTTGAAGTTCCGTCCTCTTCAACTCTGGTTCAACAAGAACTTTCGTCCACAAAGAGTTTTGCCCAACAAACCACTTCGTATGCCCCGCGCTGTCGTACAAACATTGACTTGGTGGATGACCTCAGCCAATTTAAACGTGGGGACCCCCTTCATCACCCCTCACCCGACGCTGACCCTATATACTGATGCTTCGCTGGTCGGGTGGGGTGCGGTATGCGCGGGGCTTCGATCTCAAGGCATGTGGAACCGCCAAGAGTCATTGAGTCACATAAATTACCTTGAGCTTCTAGTGATGTTCAAAGCACTTCGGTCCTTTGAGGAAGTTGTTCGCCATCAAGTGATACAGCTCACGTCCGACAGCATAGTGGCAGTATTCTATATCAACAAACAGGGCGGAACAAAGTCCACTGCTCTGGCCCGCCTGTCCGTGGACATTTGGGAATGGTGCATCCCGAGGGGTATAACCCTTTTGGTGGTCCATCTTGTTGGGACCGACAATGAGGAAGCAGACACCTTGAGCAGACACATGTCGCTCATCACGAATGGGAACTGAATCATCATGTCTGCATAAAGTTATTCCAACTTTGGGGACATTCAGACATAGACCTATTTGCTACCCACAAAAACAAGGTGTGCAAAAGATTCTGCTCCAGGGCGGGAATAGGACCAGGCTCAATGGGAGACGCCCTTATGATCCCATGGACAATTCTCAGGTTTTACGCATTCCCGCCTATTCCTCTACTGACGAAAGACATCTCGAAGATTGTGCACGACGATGCCACAGGAATACTCATAGCACCCTGGTAGCCTTGTCAAGCATGGTTTTCCACCCTCCTTCAGATTTCGAATGGCAATTTCCTTTGTCTTCCGTCCAGACAAGATCTAACTCAACAAAACGGCGCTGTCCGTCACCCAGACCTGTCCTCATTGAACCTTGCTGCGTGGAGAATTCATTAACTCAAAAAACTGTTTTGGGACAGAGATCTACTAGGTCACTCGGTAACTCAACTCACGACTGATCTGACCCTCTCACTGACTTGGTACTGACGGGGATATTGTCGGGACCAGGCTCTTTGGATCCAGACGTTTTAAGGATTCTAAGACCATCAACTCAGAAATCCTACGCAGCGAAGTGGTGTCGCTTCTCATCCTTTGTGGAATCACGCTTGTTCAATCCGATTACAGCTTCGGTTGAGAATATTCTTCAGTTTCTGCTGCAACTGCATCGTTCGGGACTGAAACCTTCCTCAATTAAGGTCTATGCAGCTGCCATGTCACATTATCGGGGTACAGTACAAGGATTGTCAGTGTTTTCACAACCACTTGTTCGAAAATTTCTTAAAGGACTGCAAAATCTTCATCTTTCTATTCAGCCGGTTATGCCCACATGGTCTTTCGGTTGTCCTTCAGGCACTTACAAGACCACCGTTTGAGCCCTTAGCGACTGTCGATACGTGTCTCATATCATGGAAGACGGCCTTCCTTGTTGCAGTTACATCAGCTCATAGAGCCAGTGAACTTTGTGCTCTTCGAATTGATCTGCCTTATCTCAACTTCCATAAGGAAAAGGTGGTTCTAAGGATGGATCAGACTTTTTTGCCTAAAGTTGCCACGCCGTTCCACCTGAATCAAGAGATTGTGTTGCCTGCCTTCTTTCCATCGCCGTCGAACCTGATCGAAAGGTCTTTGAATACCTTGGATGTTTGACGATGCTTGGCTTTCTATAGATCACACACAGAGTCTCTTAGACACACCAATAGACTTTTTGTAAAGTACTCTCAGTGGGACCAAGGATCACCTGTTTCGTCTCAGAGACTGTCGAAGTGGATTGTTCAAACCATTTTGTTAGCGTACCAGCTTGCAAAGATGGACTTACCTGTTGTTCTAAGGGGTCATTCCACTAGAGCAGTGTCAGCTTCCTCCGCATTTGCCCCGGGTGTCCCGATCCAGGAGGTCTGCAAGGCCGCAACTTGGGCTACTCCGTGTACTTTCGCAAAGCACTATTGCCTTGACATGCGTGCCAGAAGAGACTGTTCCTTCAGGAGAGCTGTTCTTTCTGCCGTTCTTCAATGACGACACCACCCACCACCATCTCTGGTAAGCTTGCTATTCACCCATATGTGTGATGCACAGAGGCCACGACGAAAAAAAGCAGGTTGCTTACCTGTAACTGATATTCTTCGAGTGGCCATCTGTGCATTCACACAACCCACCCGCCAGCCCCGCTCGGTGTCGGTGAGTGGTTTCTTCATCGGTACCGTATGATACTGCTTCGGTACCTCATACTTTATTATGTCATCAGTACCATGGGCGACTACGGCAGTACCTGATAAGTTGTTATGCCAACTTCTTCCGTGAGGTGGCAAACGTTCGTTCTCCAAAGACTGGAGAAAATGGCAGACACTCCACTCTATATATACTACCGAGGGGGGAGGGGAGCGGAATTTTCCCGCCAAAATCGTTAGCTTTCAATCTTTCCGGCCTAGGCACTGCGCAGGCGCAGCACCCATATGTGTGAAGGCACAGATGGCCACTCGAAGAGCATCAGTTACAGGTAAACAACCTGCTTTTTTAGGAAGTAAATGGAGGGGAAATTTGTACACCTGCAGTAAGAGAATATTAATGTAGGGGCACAAATTTCACCACCTTTTCCTTCCCAGCCGTTAAATTTGCATTTATTTCCCAGTCTAAAAAAATTATTCAGATATTCCCACCAGCACCTGTCTCCATCAGTGGAGCTCTGTTTACTTATTTACCTACCGCCTTGATTTTGTTTTTGCTTTTAGAACTGTCAGGGAACTGCAACAAATACAGCAGTAACTGCTCTGAAAAGGAGCCACAAAAAGGGTGGAGGGAGTTAGTATCTACAGGTAGTCTACCTGCAGATTCAGGAAACTGTTAGAAGGTGGATGTCACTGAAAACTGTAAGTTCAATGCTTAGAGCGAGAGGATTGCACTGCTAAGGGGGCTATATTGTGTGCCCCCAGCCTGCTTTTGGCATACTTCCTGGAACCTTTATGTGGTATATCTAACTTTCAAATACAATGAAGACATATATCTTGGGTAATTTCCCTCTAACTCTGCCTTCTTATCTTAAAGCACAAATAGATCCATTGTATTGTCATAAGGATTCATCTAAGTAGGCACAAACATATTATTTATTCATTTAAAAACTGAGATGCGCACTAAGATTAAGTGAATGCTTTATAATGGTAAATCTAGGCTTCTTTTCAACATCCTTGTTGTTTACAAAGATAATAAAGTCTTAAATTTACTGACACATCAGTAGATATTTGAACTGTATGTGGCAGAAATGAACTAGAAATATATATTAAGGCAAAGTCTTTTTTTTTTTTGTTAGTTATTGCTGTTGACATCTTTGAGAAGTCTAATTTTACGGGAGCTAAAGTACCACAGTTTGATGAGATTAAAGAAGATTATCCCAGAGATTTGGAGTCGTCTGTTTTGTTTCCTGATACTTTGCTCAAAGCTTCCAGCAGAAAAGGTAGTATGCTGTTCTGGATGCTTTTGGAAACTTTGAATAAGAATGTTCAGACAAAATTATATGAGAGATTATTTATACTGTCCAGAGATGATTAGGTGAACCTTAGAGAAGGCAAAAGTATAGTACATAATTCTCTATCTGCAATAAAACAGTTTCCAACATACTGTTCTGTCAATTGTATCAGTTTGATCCAGGTTTGCCTTAGCACAGGGGTCTCAAACTCAACTTACCTGGGGGCCGCTGGAAGTAGAGTCTGGGTGAGGCTGGGCCGTATGAAGCTTTGAAGGCCGCAAGCCCCGCCCATCCTGGCAATTGGCTCGTGGGCCGCGAGATTGAGACCCCTGCCTTAGCACAAAGCTTACCAGACCATTACCATGTTATGCAAAATTAAAGGTAAAAAAATATTTTCAGCTTTCTTTTGTTGGTACATAAGCCAAATTGTTTTTAAGTCAACCTCCTAATTTATTTTTAAATGATACTCCAAATGTTAGTTTAATAGAATAAAATTTGGCATTGGCTTTATCTTTAGTGGTTCCTACAATGAAGCCGTCAAATCATCGATTGTCTTCTAAGACAGAAGATGATATTTTTAAGAGCAAAAATGTACTTTCAAAAAGAAAACGTCGGCATCCAGAGGAGTCTAACCAGTTTGCTGTCGCCATTGTGATTATATACCGAACCCTAGGACAGTTCCTTCCTGAGAGCTACGATCCTGACCGAAGAAGTTTAAGGTAATGTTTAGGCAACTCACCAGCCATTTTTATTTCAGTAATGCTTGTTCATTGTATTTGGGGAGTGGAAGGCAAGGGAAATATAATATTTTGTGATTTTAATCCTAGGTGTATTCAGAAAGTCATATGTCTCTCTCTGATATTCTAGATTACACTGGAGTCTAATCTATGGTAAAAGAAATATTAATTTGGTAAGAAATAATAGAGTTCTTAGGACTGACTCACACCAGACCTATGCATAATTGATCTCGCATAATTAGTTAGCTTGCAGTTGAATGTGTTGGTGTGACTTGATTGAAAAGCTTAGTGCCTGAGGTTACACGAGGTGATTATGGAAGTTCTGGTCCGGTTGTTTCTTTGCAACAGCTCAGCAACACACACAAGCCATCACATGCTTGCTGTCACCAACAAGTAATGCATGTCTGAGCTGCTCCTGTAGCACTTTTTTCCATACTGCATCCACTGCTCAGTCCTGGCTAAATAAAATGGGAGATGCTTATTTGGAACTGGAGAAAATACTTTGTTTGCACATGAATAACAGTACTTTTGTTTCATTATACCAGGTTACCCAATCGACCTATCATTAACACCCCAATAATCAGCGCTATTGTTTATAGAGAGGGGGAGTCTTTATCAAATCTTATGGAAAGTCCCATTATGATTGAACATGCCATGCTGGAAACGGAAGAGAGAACAAAGCCCGTTTGTGTGTCCTGGAACCACTCAATTGCGTATGTTTTCTAATCTGCAATATTTTGGAAGGTGGTTAATGCATGTGCACATTTGCATTGTAATTGGAAAGTTGGGTCTTTTCCATGCAGTTAGTCTGGCAAAGAGGCGATCAATTCCAGTTGTCTTTGCATATCTGAATAGATAGATACTTAATCAGCTTTTAGACGAGTATACAAGTCCTGGCACCAAAACAAAATAGATAGTTCCTTGTGTGCTGCTGCTGTTGTTCAGTTGCAAAGTCATGTCCGACTCTTCGCAACCCCATGGACAACATACCTCCAGGTTCTCCTGTCTTCCACCATCCCCCAGAGTCCACCCAACCCCACACCCACCTCCCCAGTGACCCCATCCAGCCATGTTTACCTCTGCTGTTCCCTCTGCTTTTGCCCTCTCGATTGAAGACAAAAGGAGAAGGGGTGGCAGAGAACGATTGTGCCCTGATAAACACCACATATTTGCTCAAAGTCTGCAAGACTTGGCTATCATAAAGGAAAACTGTTTAGTAGAAAGAAGTGTTAATAAATTGAGAGCATTTGAGTTTAACACAGAAATACACCTGCAAGCTATCTTTTTGAAGCAGTAGCAAATTGACTGAACTGCAATTCTATTCATTATCAGTGTTGCTCAATTTAGTTATCTTCTTTGATTGTATTGAAAAAAATTTGATATATCTGGAGATGGAAAGAAAGGTGGTTTTGGTAAAAACTTTGGCCTCATTTCATTCCATCTTCTAGACTCACATGAAGAAGTAGCTTATCTCTCTGAGGATTTGTTCATGAGAAAATAGATGGCTAACATAAAATGCTCATGACTTCCATTACTGCAAGCACTGCAGCATTAGCTTGTGCAACTCACTACCTGGCCAAATCCAATAGTTTAGTTTATTGATGCTCCTATTCTTGGTTCCATGTCAGTCAAGTAACTGAACTTTTCTGCCCATGTGGTTTTTCCCATCAGTTTTAACAGCCACACATGTGATGCTCTTACCTCAGGGGTCAGACATCACCTCTATCTTTGCTGTGAAAAATGTAGCAATAACCCAGATAGGTAACTTTACTCCCCTGCTAAGCATCTACTTTTCTTGAAAGACCAATTTGAGAATGGAGTAAGGGCTGAAAGGTCAAGGCTCCAATTCCCATTCTTCCTAGCAGTCTGCTTCCAAGCCTGCTGTCTGTCCCAACTCCCTCCACCAGCCCTCTTTTGTCTCTTGATTGGCAATTTGGGTAGTCCATGGTACCCACCCTGAAGCCAGGTTTGGCCTGTGTGACTTCAGTTTCTGATCATGATTTACCGATATGGCAGCAACAGCAAGAGTGCAACAGTCGCATTGATAAGAAAACATCCTTATGTGGACAGAGTACTTTGACATTCAGTGGGAACTTGATTATTGAACGAGAGAAAAGTAAGCACATGCTTAATTCTCCAGTTCAAGTCACTGAGATCTAAAGTGCTTCCTTTTCTGTAGCTCAAGCCCTGCATTTCTGTATACCTAGTATAGTAATTCATCAAAATGACATATTTGAAAGTGTGGGAAACAGAATCTAACACTGTGTTAACTATACACTGCTACAATCAATAGAAGAATATAAAAATACATACAAACCAAATAATGAGAAAGACTTATAATAATGGGGTTTTATTACAGTTTTCTAAGCAGAGGAAGATTCAGGACTACTTGAAGATCAAAGAGTCAGCTAAATCTCATAAAGCAGTAATAATGGGTTTCTTAGGTGACTTAAGCTACCTGCATATAATCTGGTCATTTGTCATGTTGAGACAAGGTTTAAAAGAAGCAGTAACCTCTTGCTTTTCTAAATATCGACTGCCAATTAGCTATTTGTGCCTTAATGAGCTGCTGGTTACAGTACATGCTTGCCCCTTTTTGAAGGGTAGGTACAAAGACATGGACGCATGTCCTTCCCATCTGTATTTCCTTAAATATATATGTGTGTGAGAGAGATTAGAGAATAATTTCATTGTGATGTGAGGGAGAGTTAAGGTGGCAATTTAATGAAGAAAATAGCAATCCACAATGTATCCTCATATATTTTCAGTCAGTGAAACAGCAAATGTCATGAAATCTTATTTTGTTTCTTCTCTTCTCATTGACTAGAATTGGAGAAACAGGAGGTTGGTCTGCAAGGGGATGTGAACTGTTTTCTCGAACCCAGAGCCATCTTGTTTGCCAGTGCAACCATATGACCAGTTTTGCTGTCCTAATGGATATTTCTAAACGTGAAGTGAGTGAGTCCACCATGATGATTTTTTACTTTTGTTTTTGGTTGGCTACAGTGGTAGCATAAAGAGTTTTTGATAGAAGGAATTAGTGAATGGCTCCTTCTATTTTAAATTAGTGTTTTGTTTTGCCATCAGTCTATCAAGATGGTGTGATCTGACCCCAATACTTGTCTCATTTACAAACTGTGGGAGGGATTTGTTATCTCTTTTTTGCTGTCTTGCTAAGATGGGGTTCTCAGTGAACTAGGTTACTGTTGTTGTCATCATCACACTCTTGTGAATTGATTCATCATTACCCATATTCCTTGAATGCCTTGTATCTAGAATTCTTCTAATGCAAGCTGGGAGTATAGGAAGGCTCATGGAGAATGCTTTGCTAATACAAAATAAGTACCTAGGCCTGACTGTTCCTCTCTGTCACTCATAAGGTACAGCAATTTGAAGTTGCTCTCTTGTGACGTGCAAACTGGGCTCATTTGTGCATAGTTTACTTGAAAGGGTGCCAGAGGTGCCTGGCAAGTGCAGCAAAAAGCCTTACCAGCCATCACAGTGCTCTCCATCCCTTCTGTTCGGCACTTCACTGGACAGCAACCACCTGTATCCTCATGTGAATTATGTGTGTATATGGGCTTGAGTGACCTCTGGGTAAGCACACGTAGCCTCAATTCAGGACCATGGTGATTCAGCAGGAGGGATTTAAGTTCTCTTCTTCTGTTTTCTTGCTCAATTTTCAAGCTGAAATTCTCCCCCCTTACATGGAGAAGGTTGAAAAGTGAAAATGAAGGTTGAAAAATGAAAAGTCTACCTTTTAGTATGAAAAGAAGCAAGGGGGAAGGTTTAACCCCCTCTTCTGAATTGCCATTGTCCCAAATTATGTACACTTACCTGGCAGTAAATCAATTGCATGTACACATGTAGCTGTGCTAGGAGGGCAAATGTTGCTTGTCCCCAGCTGTGAAGAGTAGCAAAAGATTTTGTTTAAATGCTAAAGAAAGAAAATAAAGTCTTAACCATCTGATCCCCAAAAAGTAAGATAACACACCACCTGCAATCTGTGTGCGTCAACATGGGTGCTTCCTAAGCAAGAAAGGGGCAGGGAACAGTCTTGTTTTAGCTGGAGCATAGAGGAGTTGTGCCACAAAGACCCATGGAATATGTCCTGGGAACAGGAAGGAGAACAAATGGGGAATCCATGTGCCTGAGCTTCTCTCAGCAGCAGCTTAACTCAACCAACTGTGATGTTTCAGCTTGTCTTATCATGACATCTGAAGACAGATGAGGACAACAGGGTGATAGACAGTTACTTGCTCATGCCCCATCTGTGAATCCAGCAGAAACTAAAACTAGATCTGATATAACCAAAGTATTTCTCCTCTGGACACAAATGGTCACATGAATAAACTTAAGTGTGAAGACTAGTCATGAAGCCAAACCTCTGCTTTTGGAATCATTCTTATGCACTCAGTCACACTTATTTTAAACCTTTGTTTCACTGGCTGGATCAGTGAAATTAACTAACTTTTGAAAGGATTCAGAACTGCTTCATTGGTTATCAAGATGTTTCCAAATGTGAAGAACAAGGACAGCTCCTGTCACTAACATCCAGTGAAGGAGAAGCCAGGAAGTTCTCTTTCATATACCAGCAGCTTATTTTTTATTTATTTAAAACTTTTCTATGCCATCCACTACCAAATAGTCTCAGGACAGTCTTACAATAAATGGATGATGGGCATGTAACCCATGTGCCGAGTCCATTGCAGTGAGCCCTATTTATGATTGACATTGTGGCCATACTGGTTGCTGGAGACGCCACAGACTGGTTTACATACTTGCACCAATCTGCAGCTTTCAGTAAATGAACAGGTCATCTACAGCCATTTGCTAATCAGCAGTGGGGGACTAAGACTGCCCCCCCACACACACACACTCTCACACACAATAGACCAGAGCCTAAAAGGATTACTGGTCTGCAGCCATTAATTTTGTAATAAGAATAGCTTGCATTCCACTGGAGCCTGGCGGGGAGAGGACCTTTCCCTGCCAAGTTTCTGGGAGGCTTTATACACAGGCTGGTTGAAGGCTGCACTGAGATAAATGTTCCATGGCACTCCTGCCTGGAGCATCTTGATCCTTACATATGCTGTCAGGGAAGGATGGTGCTGTTATCTCTAAAACAAGGATAGCTGGAAACATCTAAATAAATAAATATACATCTGAAAGTTGACTCTTTCTGCTTTTAGGTAAGTATTCTGGGTCAGGCACCAGATTTTTAATCAGATATAATCAGAATTCTGATTATAGGGTAGGTTAGCTGTAGATAAGTGGGTTGTGCTTATGCATAGCAGTGCATGGGATTAAGCTGTTCTCTTTAAAAGGTTGCATTAACCTTGTCAAAAAGACTCAGTCACAAAAGGATTACTCAAGTTTACTAATCGTGTGGGTTTTCGTCTTGGCATAGGATGGTCTCCTATTGGTGCGGATATTCTTCAGGAAGCTATAAATCTGAAAAAAAAAAACAGTAAAAATGAATTAGGTGGTTTGAAATCCACCTAATTGTGGTTTTCATTTTATTGCCTTTTCCTTTTTAATCCTCCAAATGAGCAGATAGTATGTGACACCTTTAAATGGTATATATGTTAGGAATTTTTGTCACACTCCTAGTTGAGTCACCACAACTCCTACTGTGCAAATGGATATGTACTGTTTTTCATTAAATATGCTTGGTGACTAAGTAATGCAGGTTGCTTTTAAATAAAGAACACTTGGGAAAGGAATGTAGCAAAAATGATTAATCTTTTCCACCACAGAATGGCGAGGCACTTCCTCTGAAGATTATCACTTATACCACAGTCTCCATCTCGCTGGTAGCTTTGCTGCTCACCTTTATACTTCTTGTGTTGATCCGGACGCTGCGCTCCAACCTGCACAGCATCCACAAAAACCTGGTGGCTGCTCTGTTCTTCTCAGAATTAGTCTTCCTGATAGGAATCAATCAGACAGAAAATCCGGTAAGAGTTCATTCCAGTGACTTTTCCTTAACATGCTTTTTCTGGCTTTACCTTAATGAAAACAACAACAGCAACAACACCATGACTTGACACTGATCCTGCACTGCTGCCAGTCCTCAGTTGGCCTCTTTCCCACTTAGCACAGTTTGAGCCAAAGAAAAGCCTGGCAGATGGCTCACCTTTAAACAGCAACCCCACAGTATTCATGTGAGCGTATTGATCATGCTCATTACACCAACACTACAGTCTCAGAACAGATGAAGCCATTTAACAGGGCAACTGCTACTCCTTTTGTTGATGGTGGTTCCTGTCCTATGTACACTTCTGTGTGACAAAGTCCCATGGAACAAAGTGGGGATTACAAGGCCCAGCACCTGGTTTGAGAGAGTCCCAGGCGAGGTGCGTTCTTAAAAGCACAACTCCTGGTGGGGGGCAGGCAGCAGCAGGGAAATCCCACTGCAGCTGTCTGAACCACGGCTTTTCTCATCACTAGGACTATAAAAGGAAACAGTCTTCTTTTAAAGGCCTGGTGCTAGAAGAAAAATTGCTGGGGCTGGTGGCCGCAGTGATCACCATCTTCCTCACCCTCGTACTCCTGGCCCTGATGTCCTGCCACTGTGTTGTGGCTAGTGCCCAAAGGCATTTTTGGTTAAGGTGGTGGCTGCTCCAGCTCACCATCCCAGTGCTTTTGCTCCCTCCCCTAAATTTGTGCCAGGGAGGGAATAATGATGTCAACCCCGGTAGACCCTCCAAGCTCCAGCGCTTGCCCCACTATGTGTGGTGCCAATATCTGGCCCAGGACTGGCTTCTAAGTAAATTATTATAACACCAGCTTATGTGCCCCCTCAGAATGGGGATTTCTTTTATACTCATGAGCCGGCCTTAGACCTGTATGGAGACTTTGATATGATTTGCTCTCAAATCAGTTCATTAACTGAGGCCTTGTTATTAATGTAGGAAAATTAGTGTTTATGGTTTTCAGATTAACTGACTGGGATGATTTAGGCAATGCTTTGTCTTTTCAAATGGTTGTTATTTTAAAAAAGACTGCTTCATTTTCAGCAAGGAACTTCAGGTCTCTTTCTTCTTTATGGTCTCTGTGCATCATGCATTTGGGTTCTGCAACTCCATGGAGCCTGTTTTTGTGAAGATTCTTTGGCTAAGCATTCAATTGGATGGGAGGCCCTCCCCTTCCTGTTTCCTCCGCACCTTTTCAACCTAGATCAGGAAGTGCTTCTCTCCTCAAACTTGAGTATTTTTTAGTTTCTTCTGTTTCTCTACATACTTTGCCTCCTTGTGCTGTTTTTCCCTCAGGAGTCCATTTTTTTCACACTCCCCTCCCTGGAAAAACAAAACTCCACAGAAATACATAATTCTCCCCACTTCTCTTTACCTTGTTGTATTCCCTCCAAATGGCTTCTTCGTCTGTACTACTTCTGACTTCCTCATCGACCATGATGGCTTTGATGGTGACATTTAGAAAATGTGTGCACTGAGCAGACTTTCCCCCACTCCTTCATGGATAGCCATTCCCTCTGCCTCATTGAGGAACATGTCCTCAAGGATTGCCCACACTCGGCATGCCAGGCCTTCACAGAAAAGATCGACTGTAGACCAGACTGTGGCAAAAGGCCCTGTAGGTTACAGATTCCAAGAAACAAAATGGACAAGACCATCCATCAGTTGGACTGCAGTGACATCAGCCAGGTCCCCAGGAGGTGCAGTGAGAATGCTGGCCAAGCCCTCTTTTCCCAGATACGATGAGTGCATGGCCAGGAAAGTGGCCAAATGCACCAAAAATATGGCTGCCACAACCAAGGAAAAGCAAAGACTCCACAAGAGGCCCTGTTGAGCTTCAATGCTGAGAGATAACCCAGTATCAACTTTGGAACATTTGCGATCCTCAGTGCTGAGCAAGGACATGACATCCGAGGGTGACCCTTCCTAGGTCTCCACTCTGGCCTCTGCTCCAGGAGTTGGTGTTGAGATGGTCCACTCACTGCTCACAGGAACAAGGGCCTCCACCTTTGAAGGCTGCTCAGTACTGAGGTGATCTGTCCTTGCCTTGCCGACATTACCACTCTTGGAAGCCAGTTTGACACCAAGGCAATCCATCCATGCTCTAGAAAGCAGACGGACACCAAGACAGATCCCACTGTCCCCTCACCAAATGGAATTGAGTTCTAACTGAGCACCATCTCCACAATGGTCCCAAGAGCGGTCTCACCCCTCTGTGCTACTGAGGACTCTTGGTATCAAGCGGTCACCAGATCTCAGGACAGAGCAGGTCAATGCCCCCATGTTGCTACTGAGACACCATTCCTGCCAGCACTCATATGAGGCCACAGTCTGAAGCCAGCTATGATCCCAGATGCTCATGACATCAGATACTCAGTACTGAAGACACCATTCCCATCATCTGACCTGGAGGACTGTGCCTCCAACTAAAAATTGGCAGTGTTGCTGCCCCCAGGTACCTCCTTGCCTGATCCTGCTTTGCAGGACCTGGCTTCCCAATTGGAGGAGATGGGCTGATTCTCAGAGCCAGTCCTTTGAATGGTGACCTCCTTCAGAGCTGCCTGGCATTCTGAGGACTCAGCACTATTCGTAATCCCATTCTTGACCACACTGCTACAGATGGTATGGCAAACACATAGCCCACCCACCAGCCCCGCTTGGTGTTGTCCTGCTGAGGATTGTCCCCTTGCTTGACAACGGCATACAGGGGCCAGGATGGGGTAAAACACTCCTCCTTCCCAGTCCTGGTACCTGTGATGGTCTCAACGGAACCAAGGGAATGGGTGGGAGACCCTCCTCCTTGAATCTGGAACAGGAAGGGGAGGAGCTCCCATCAGTTGAAAGCATAGCTATAGAATCTTCCCAACATCAGGCTTCACGCAGGTGCAGACCCCATATGTGTGAATGCACGGATGACCACTCAAAGAATGGTAGTTACAGGTAAAGCAATCTGACTTTGGGCTTTACAGTGTCCACATGTCAATTTGCTAGGATTGAAAGGAAGGCAGCAGCATCCATAAAGGAAAAATTTCCCCTGGGCAAGTTAACAAAAATATACCATCTAGTCTTATACCTTAAACTAGTTGTTAAGGATCTTTTCTTTAGCAAGCTATATATTACACAGTAATATAGTACATGCTACTTTGAAATAGTAAAGATGACTGGGAGGAGAGTTCTTCTGTGTTTTGTATTTCAAGCAATTATTAATCCTTCCTCATGGAATGAGCATTGTCCAAAAAGTCACACACTAGTGAGCATGAAAAGTCAAAGAATGTAGGCACACAGATGAAATGGTGTTGCTTGATGTTCCGTTTAGCTTTTATAAGTTTCTATAAAGCAACTGTCACATGGCGGGGAGAGGTTTCAGTCATCCGTGGATGACTGATAGGCAAAAATGATTTATTTTCCTTGTTGCATGCCTGAAATAAGCAGGTTTCATCATTGTGACCTATACCTTAAAACAAAAAACCAACCCCCCACTTTAGAATTGTACGAAACTAATAAATGTTTTTGAGGAGAGCTGTACTTTTAGAACTAGGTCGACCAATCAGAATCCTAGTTCCCAATAGGTAAGCGGGGGGGGGGGGGCGGTGCAGTTGACTGGGGTGGTTCAGCTTCTCCCAGACTCCTTTGTGTATGAATTAATTAAATGACCAGACTAGGTAATAACCAACCCTTCCATATTGGCCCAGTGTAGGGTTGCATTTGGAGATGACAGTGGACCATGCTGGGCTAGTATTTTCCTCTCTTCCACCACAGCCTCAAGGGGAAGGTCATTTCCATTATTAGTTAACCACAGTTTAGTATTACTTTCAAAGCCTGAATAGTGGCTGATCTTAAGTATGGTTTTTCGAATCAAGCTAGGTTCATTAATTTAGCTTTGAATTTGGCTAGCCTTAGGAAGCCATAATTAAGACCAACTGGAATTGATACACATTCAGATGAAACACTAATTGAAGTCAGTTTAAAAAATGGAAGTAAAAACTTCTGATCTCTTTGCAGAGTGACTAGATAAAAGAGGTAAGTGGGAGCAAAGAGCTGTTTTTAAAGTTTCTCGTTGGCTACTGTACACAGCCAGCAGGCTGCTTTCAACTTGGTGAGTCACAGATTGTGTAGAAATGCCCTAAGGGCATCATACTAGGAGAATCTTTCCACACTTCAGGAAGTTTGAAAGCAAACAGGATGGCTCTATGCTCCCTCCACGTTCAGAGGCAGCGCCTATGAATACCAGTGGTTTGCATGCTTGCTTTTTGGATTTCTGCCCCACCTTTCCACCAAGAAAATAAGGTGCAAGGTGTCTGTTAGAGAACAACAGTGTTGGCCTAATACTCTGCTTCTGATGCTTTTACCCAAAAGTTGGTCATTTTTAGATGCAGCATGCAGAACTAAACAAGCCTGTAGTCCTATCCAGCTGTGCTGTTCTTATATAACATAACAAGGCAGTTTGCTGTTCAAAAGGGGGAAAGGGCCAGGCCTTAGGCATGTGTAAAATAGTTCTCTGGACTGTGACCCTCAATATTCACTTACATCTAACCACAGTCTCCCTCTTGTGCATGACATATTTGTGGTTCAGCAGAGGCATTCCTAACTAAATTGGCCTTTCCCTTTTTCTAGTTTGTCTGCACTGTGATAGCCATTCTTTTGCACTACTTCTACATGAGCACATTCGCTTGGATGTTCGTTGAACAGCTTCATATCTACCGCATGTTGACTGAAGTAAGGAACATCAATTTTGGACATATGAGGTTCTACTATGTCATGGGCTGGGGGATTCCTGCCATTATAACAGGTAAGAATGAGTAGATAATGAACAGAAATGAAAGATGCAGTTATTTTCTTTAGCAGAAATGACATATTACAACTTATTTTTATGAGTTTGACTGGTATAGCTTCCTCTCGAAGAATCCTGAGAAGTATATTTCGGAAGGATACCAAATGCTCACTGATGGAGATTTCTGCTGGTCTCTGGATTTCTGATCTCTCTTCTGTAGAGAGACACCATTAAAATAGTTCCATGCACAATCCTATGTCCCATGGCCTCAGTGCATGTGAGCCTCAGAAGCTGGAAGCTTATGTGCCTGTGTCTGGTAGGCATGAGAGGAATAATCTCCACCATGGCCATTCCTTTCACTGGGTATTTTCTCTAGATGGCCAGTTTTGGCTGTCTAAATGTTGGGAAGGAGGGTGGAATGTTGATAGGAAGCAGTGTAAGTCCATGGCCCTGGCCTCCTCCCTTCCCCAACCCTGGTAAGCACTTTTTCCCCCTCCAAGGCTCTAGGCAACCTTAGTGGTAGAGCTAGAATCATTCATTCCACATTGGCTGCAAGGAGCTTGGGACTACAAAGAATCCTATGGACTGCCCAGCAGTGTCAGGAGGCCATAGGATTTTGCTTTTAAACCTGTTTGTGTCTCCTTTTCAAATACTAGGTCTAGGACTAAACTACTATGTTTAATATGTAGCATGCAGGTCATCCTAACTTTTTTCTTACTTTCAAGTAAATACATGGAGCTGTGTTCTAATGGAGTTTGCTTCCTCCTCATCTGCTTTTAGCCCCTGCACATGGCAGGTTGAATTTAGTTGGGAAAGGTGCTGGATGGGAAGGGTTAAACAGGCTGGTCCCAATCCAGAATGCACCTGTCACACATGCATAAGAAAGTTAGGAACAACTGAACACTATGTATTTAACACAGCATGTAGTTTAGCCCCTGTGTCTTCCGAGTTATACTAATCACTGATTTGAATCTGTTCAAGACACACTGGCAAAAAAATGAAGGCAGTTAGGAGTTGTATTTGATGCCTCTTGCTCTAATTAAAGCAACTTCTCTGTGGATAAAGGGATGTAAACGTACATGAATTCAAGTTGAAACAAGTATAGTTCACATACCACACAAATAACTTCATTCGTTTTCTCATAATTACTTTGTTGCTTGCAACATTTTGTATATTCTGAACAGAGGAAGAGACAGCCGTGCTTTAACTTCCAGTATTAGCTCAGGCACCCAGAAAGCATGAAAGTACAGAGGGCAAATGTTGTCTTTTTTTATGCTGTGTTTTAAATGATGTTACTGAGGTAGATTTATTTTGATTTTAGCAGGATTTTAAATTCTTAAAAAGTAAATGCTTTCAAAAATATATTGCAAACAAACTCATACAGAAAAGCCACATGAAAATTCTGACTACACTGTAGGAGCATCACTATGTAATCAACACAGTCAAGCAGAAAAACCAAATGCTAATAAGAAAAACATTTAACAGTGGAGACCAAGAGTCCCAAATAAATGAAAAACACTTCAGTTGCCAGACTTGTAATTTATTCTAGCCTCAGCTATTGTATATCTAAGTGTCACCAACCAGAAACTCATATGATCAGTATTTTCTCCAGGGGTTCAGTTGATTCAAGGCTTGCTGCAAAATTCAGAGCCCAAATATCTGGCAAAAAATAGGTCCTGGAGCAGAGAATACCCATTCTCAGGTGGTGGTGGGAAATCGAAAAACCCAGAATTGCTAATACTGTATCAGCATTTGGCCTGAATTGCTGATGAGCACACTCAGAGGCAATGACCTGTCAGAACCAGAGGACAGTGTAAGAAAAAGAATTAGCTTGCTATCTTCTCAGTTGAACAGCAAAACTATTGGAAGGAGATGCCAAGAAACTACCTGAAAATAAAGTCATAGAAACAGAGTGAGTCAGAAGAGGTCTCCTGGGCCATCTAGTCTGACCCCCAGCTCCAGCCAGCACCACACATGACATGCCTACCATGTGCATGTCTAGCCTGTCCTTGAACACCCTCACCGATGGGTCTTCAACCATCTCCCGTGGAAGCCCATTCCATCCTTTGAATAAGGAGAGCAGAGCTGGATCAGCTCACAGGTTTCTTTTGCAGCATCCTGTCCCCACATTGGCCACACAAATGCCTGTGGGAGGCCATAAGCAGAATGTGTGTACAGGAGAATGCTTTCCTGCTCATGTTACCCAGATACAACAGAGTCTAGCGGCTGTGAATTGACCTATGAAAGGGAATGGCTTACAGAATAAAATCTATGGTCAGCACTGACTTTAGTCACATTAGAATGGCTGGAAGCACAGGACTAAATCATCTACTTCTTTGCAAGCACATAGGATAGCTCTGTGGCAGAGTGGAAGGGGAGCAAGAGGAAGCAGCAGAAGCTGAAACGCCAGTTGGTTCTCTAATACACATGCCTTCGCTTCCCTCACCTGCAGTTCCAGGTGAGATCTTCTCATAAGTGAGAGAAGATCTCTGGTGTTTGCAGCAGGATTTTTTCAAGAGCAAGAGATGTGATAAAGTTGCTTTAAATCAGTCATTATGGGTCACTATATGTTATATTTGACTTCTGCTACAAAAAACACATTAATTAATGGTGTTAAGTGTACACCCCAGCCTCAAATCAATTGAAGCAAAGCAGCTAAAAAACAGTCAATTAGTAGTGCAAGTTTTTATCAGTTAAAGCTGTGATTTTCCCAATGGGACTACTGTACAGATGTGTATGCCATTGCATTGTAAATCAGCCTAATACCTGCATACAAATGAAATTACGGTTAAGCAGTTTTTGTTTTCAGAGTATGTATTTGCTTGCTGCAGCAGCTGCCACCTTAGAAGAGGCACCCCCTTCTGCAATAGATGGGGGAAATGCCTCTTCAGCTGTCACCTCCAGTTTTTGTATGCCCTTAGAACTTAAATCGTTGCCTGTGAGGAACACCTTTTTAGTTGATCAAATGTTTTTTAATGTATTAATTAGGTCAACTCATAGTACAGTTCTTTGCATGTTTAGACAGGGGGTTGGTGCGTGGGGGACCCTTCATCTACCTACATGACCCAACCAGCCATGCTGGATAGGCATGCCAGAAGTTGTTACTCCTTTTTTCTCTTTCTCTATAGACAGCCTTGGGGCCACAACCCTGCATATACTTACCTGAGATCCAGCTCCATTACACTTGATGGGACTTCTGGATAGAAATACAGTCTTTAACTAGACACGTTATAACTCTAATAATGGAGGATCTACACTTAGTGGGGATGTTTAATAGAAGCTGTGCTTCTTGGTCAGCCTCATCTTCTCCCTTGTATTTTCCTCCACCTATGGAAGCAATCCTGCCACCAGCCAGAAGGAACACAGAAGTCGTTTCAGAGCAAGGATGCAGAAGCTCAGACCCTAAGGCCCAATCCATCCTTTCTGGTGACCCTAGACAGCCATGCTTACATCCCCTGAGTCCTCCTGCTTTCCACCAATGTTTCCTAGCTTTTGTGTAGCCTTTCCACCATTCTAGGTGGTTGTAATACTTCTCTGAAGGCTTAGTTAAGAATTTTAAGCTAGAAGATGCTAAAATGTTCCATTTTGGCCCTATCACATTGCCTTCAAGCTTGCCCACCACTGGAATGTGCCCCTCCCAAACCTCTCCAAAATGAAATTTGACACTTGAGGTGAAAGAAGTTCAACACCCCTGTGCTAGAAGGTTCTGTACTTGCCGAATGCACTTTCTTTGGTGAGATGTGGCAGAGATGGTGTACAGGGAAGGAATACTGAGAGGGAGAGCATTTCATTGAAGCCCAAATTCAAAGTTCTACATAGCATTCAAACATCCAATGAATTCTGCATGTAAGAATGAGTGTTGCAATTGTAAGCTTCCCTAGTGTTTACTGAATTAGAGCTTGGCCTGTCTCATTCCATATGTATGTTTGCACAGTAATTAATAATGAAAAACAGAACATTTACTGGAAATAATGAGCAATATTGCAACACAGAATAGAATAGAAAATAAGGTGTGCTGACAGGTTCTTGTGAGTCATGCGTGATTTCCCAGGAAGTCAGCACTTGTGAGGTTCAGATGCATACTCCATGAAAAATAGCACATTGTTCTTTTTGTTTCTGGAGGCTGGCAGGCAAGTGAAATAATGATCCCAAACCTGCCCTTGCCTTACTAGAATGATAAGGGATATATGTTGCTCACACACACACACAAACATCACACACACCAAAAAGACTGCAGCTTCTGCTGCACAAATGGTGGTTCCCACTAATTCTGTTAAGCAACAAGGAGTTAATGCTTCCCAAAGGAAGTTTCCAAATAATTGCAAATGCTAGTTCTGGATCAGGAACGGTCTGTGGAGTCCCCTTATATGAGTCTCACAGGCCTGCCCCATTCCATAAATGAACATTTATCTCACTGCAAATTGCCCCAGGCATGCTAAATCTCCATTTTGAAAGTGGTGAGTGCCACTTGTGGAATTGGTGGAGCATAAAAGGACTGGCAGGTGCCTTTTGAACTCTGCACAGAGGACCCAGTGAGCTGAGAACCAAAGGCTTTAAGGGAAGGATGGATACTATAAATGACAATTGACCAGCACAGGCTTGGTGCTCAGAAAGGAAGAACAAGGGCAAAGAGAGGGCAAAGGAAACCTCGTGGAGTATCTAAAGCCTTGAAGGGATTTTGTTCTGATGGCAGGCAAAGGGCCTTAGAACTGGAATGTGCCCAAGAAGTTTGGGGAGAACTAGGTTGGAGGGCTGGGCTAAAAATCCTTGGAGACAAGACTTCATTCCTGTCCCACTGACATTTATAGTAGGTGAACTACATGCTTACGGGCACATATTGGTCCGGTTTTAATTCATTAAAATGTTAATAAGGCAAAATCTAGAAAGTGAAAAAGGTTCATTTTTTGCCAGCTAATATTGGAGTCAGATGTTTGGCTGCGCTTTGGTGCAAACTCCACACACAGGTTTTCAGTCTTGAGTCTTAGACTATTTCTGCCAAATTAAAATTGTGTGAGATATATTTTAATGGATTTTCCTAGCATACCCAGGGGTTATTTGTGGGTGGTGATTGCTTTAAGAAGGAAAGGGGCTATTTCTCTTATCCAGTGGTTATTTGATTTTTCTTCATGTGGATTCTGAATACAAATTTTGACCAGCTTGATGTATTAGAGATTCTTACTGTGTCTTTTGTTGTGTTTCAGGTCTTGCTGTGGGTCTCGATCCACAGGGCTATGGGAACCCAGATTTTTGCTGGCTCTCTGTTCATGACACTCTGATCTGGAGCTTTGCAGGGCCAATTGTGATTGTTGTGGTTGTAAGTATTGCAGAATCTGCCAGCAACATAAAACTTGCCATACTAAATTTATTACTGTCAAGCCCTCTAGTTGGTGTAACAATCTCAAAGTTTTATGGAGCATACATACTGAAATACAAATTAAAGGTACAAAAGACAATTAACAATAGATCTCTCGTATGGAAACCTAAAACTATAAACCATCATAAGAACATGATTGATTAATTATAAATTGCAATCATAATTTGACAACCCTTATTGCAAACAAGGTATTTTATCATTGTTTACTAAACAGGTTTTGGGTGTGGGGTTCTGTTTGTTTGTTTACTGGTTAGTAGTAAAACTTCTGGAATAATTGTGCTTAAAAATACTGTGAAGCCCCTGAAGTTGTAATATGGGAAGTTTTGCCTGTTTGAGCTCTTTGCATAATAATCTGGGAAAGGCAGTAGGGTCAGGGCATGTGCATTCTGTCTTCTGAGTTCTCTTTCTCCCTCCCCAAAGTCCAGAATCATATACATTTTTTCAGGTTTCTCACGCATTTGAAGATTTTTAAAAAATGTATTGAGGGAAACAAAAACCAAAAAGTTACATCTAGGACAATAATGAATCACACCTCCTAGGTCTCCTTCAGCTGCAAGTCAGGCATAGCACCTAGCTGTTTAAGGCACAATCCTAAGCATGTTTAGACAGGAAAAAGTCCTACAACCCCCAGCATGCCCCAGCCAGTTGTGGACTTCAGGGAACTGCAGGGCCTTTTTCCTGCCTGGACATGCAAAAGACTGTGTCCTTAGCGCATCCTGGACAAGGAAGGGGAAAATAGAGTTGGGCCATGTTCACTGGGAGGTACTCAGCCCTTAAGCACCATCTCCCCTTCTGAAACACTTCCATACAGTGCTATAAAACTCCTTGCATAATGCTGCTTCTGCTCAGGGCCAGATGAGCAGCCTCCTGCTCACCTGAAGCCAAACCTCAGCCATCAGTCAGCCTGTCAGTGCTAGAGAGCCCTTGCCCCAAGGAGCTGCAGGTTGATGAGTTTAGCATTACATGAGAAGCATGGCTCTCTTGCCTCAAAGCTCCCTGGGGTCACACACCTGCACTAGTGGGAGATTTCCAGATCTCACACCCACCATGTGATTCTTCCCTGGTTTAAAACAGGCCCCATAGTTAAATGTGGACTGGTGTATTCAGCATGCCAGTTTTACAACATTTAACAAGTACTCTTGTCCACAATATGGGCTCTTGTGCATTCATAATAATAGGTGGCTTTTGTAAGTATCAGTTGCAAGGTCCAGAGTTTCTTTTTACTATGCTCAGTTCTCAAGGCTGCCTTTGATTTACTGAAAACCTCACAGAACAGAATCTCATGATCTTTTTGAGGTCATGAAGTTAAAGTTTCTCGAATTAAGAAGAGTTGTGCTAATGATTGACTAAACCAGTGATGATTGATATAAGATGAACAGAGGAATTAGGTAGGATTTAGGAAAACTGTACAAACATTTGTAAATTCAAGGAGGAAAACAAGTCTCTATTTCTGGTCTGATCCATATTTACTTTTCCTTCAAGATCAACTTTGTAATTTTCATACTGGCCGTCAAAGCCTCATGCAAACGAAGGCAACGTTCACTGGAGAAAACTGGTGTCATGTAAGTTTGCATTTTTGAGGGACATGGAGGAGAGCGTGCTGTTTCTGTCTCAGAACTCAAACTGGGGCAAACACTGGGAAAGGACAGGCACCTGTACCACCATTTTGCTGCCCCTTCGATTGCTCTTCTTCCACTTTGTATTCCACTGCAATGAGAAGATTTCAACAGGACTGAGGAAGCGTTGCATGTGTGACCATTTAGTCTAGTCTGCCACACTCCGCCCTATCTCCTTTCCACTTTACGCTGTTTGTGATCCTGATCATAAGACCATTTCTCCCATAGCTTTACTCCAGTGGCACAGTGTCCCCAAAGCAGCTATTATGGGTAGAAGAACAGGCTTCAGACCATGCTGCCCATTCCCAGTAACAGTGTGCTTCCTCTCAGATTTAAGCAGGTGGCAGAAAAAGAAATACTTGAAAAATTGTTTGTTTATACCCTGCCAAAATTGTCTCCTGAAGCTGCTTGTGAGAAATTTGGGCAGTAGATTAGGGATACTGGGATGTCAGTGGCAGTCTCTTTAGCTCCTAGGAATTCTTCATACAGCCCAAGTTCCAAGCATTTCCCATGTGTGGGTGGAAGAGGCTATAAAAATGACAGTGCACAGAGGAACTCCTTCTGTTCACCTGCAGGTTCTTCTTAATGCTGGCAATTGATGGCACAAATAAACTCCTGTTCTTGTCCAAAGCATGTTTGTCTGGCTGTCTCTATGGAAATCCTACACCATCATTCGCCAGCAGCATGCTAATGTACACATATTGTGTATTTGGTGATGCAGGGAGGGGAAGGAAGCAGAAGGAAACAAACACCTATCACATTATTTTCAGAGATCATTGTAGCTCCCTGAATTAATTCGGTGGGGACAGCAATGCTGGTGTGCCCAGTATAACATGCACTGCTCTATATTTCTATATTTGTGTGTGTGAGACCATGAGAGAGAAAAAGAAAGAGTGAGTGAGTGAGTAAATGGAATCATACAGTCTAGTGAGGAAAGTACCTGCTTAGCACAACAGGGTAGGTAAATATTCCTTTCCTATCACCTGCCATATCAGTGGCTGCTATTTAATTTATGATGTGGACACTCTGAGATTGCCAGTTTGAAGGCACAACTTAGTCATTGCTGTCTCTCCCAGTAATGTATTGGTAGGCAAGCTCTGAGTTGCGAAAGTAGTCAGTGATTTTAACAAGCTCACAAAACAAACAGGAGACAGACTAGCTACGTTTTGGTTATCCTAACCAGAAAATGTTAAGATTTCCTTCCTTCCTGGAGTGGAACAGGGAATGGAATTGCATTTGTCGGGGTCTACAGTATTTCATGCCGTAATACGAACGATTCTGTGATTTTCATCTAGTTCAGTACTACGGACTGCTTTCCTGCTACTACTGTTGATCAGTGCTACCTGGTTACTGGGTCTGATGGCAGTAAACAGTGATGTAATGACATTTCACTACCTGTTTGCTATCTTCAGCTGCTTACAAGTAAGTTGTAAAATGTCTTTGTAGCTTGCCTTCAGATCCCACATTAAGCTTCTGATTAGGTACTACTGTGTCAGGGCTGCTGCCTTTCAAAAGACAGGCTCACAGCAAAAGATGGCAAACATAGAAACCTTTCTTTTCACATCCAAACATTTGTTCCCCAACCTCAAAGCCCCAAGTAGGCAATTGATGCCCTGTAGGCTGCCAGCCCCTCCCCTCATACACACACACACCATTTTTGTACAGCTTCTCAGCCACCACAGGTGCTGAATTTGCTATGGCAACAGCAAAAATGGCTGCAGATTTCCTTTAAAACAAGATAGGTGGGTGGAGAATCATGCTTGTGAAAGCCTCCCTGGAGGGCAATTCTGCTTCCCAACAAGTTAGACACTCCCCACACTCCTTTTTTTAAGCAAAATTGCTGCTGCTGATGCACCACCAATTTTCAGAGGCAAAATCAGCAATGCAGTGATGGAGAGGGATGCATACCTCTGCAAGAACTGGCCCCTGCACTAGTTCAGAGCCCACCCCTGAACTAGTAGAATTTTTTGTGGCAGCCTTCTGTACATAGAGTAGCAAGTCTTATTCTTTTAAGACTCAACAGAAAAAATACTAAATAATAAAGGAATGTTTGTGGTCTAACAGCTTGCTCTAATCTTTTATTCCATTCCAAATTGTTGTCTTTTATGTATCTACCTGCCCATGTTTTAAGGAGATTGTTTTTAACTTTTGCCCTAGGCTTAACACAGAGGATCATTTCATAACATTTGTTAGCACCAAATATCATAATGGAAACTTAAACTGACCTGAAAGATTGAGACTTATTTACTTGTTTTAACAAAGTTCACAGAAATATATGTTCAGAGAGCTCAGAATTGTTTCCACTGACTCTGAGCATGGAGGAGCTCCATAGGGGCCTTTCTAACCTTTACGTGGTGATACTGTGCAATGCATGCATTCAGCTGCACAGCACATGTGTGTTCCACTCTCTAACAAAGAGTTCTCCCAACATTTATTTGCAATAGAAAGATGGGCTTTTTGACAGGGGCTAGTTGTCCTCTAACTAGCTAGAGGACAACTAGCCCAAAGAATATTACATGACAAAAGATAAGTGTTAGTTTTATTGGTTCCCAGCCTTTCTAACAGCATAGCTCATCAACAGTGCCTCCATTTTTGTTCTGGACTTTTGTTGGGATTTGCCTGTTAAAACAGTTCTGCCTCACAGTTCAATTGCAAGGCATTCCCTCTTGGAATTATCCCTGTGCATGATGCATAGTGCTGCTCTGTGATCAGTTTGTAGGCTGTCTCTTTCTCCTTGTTCCTCTTAGCTCCACTATGAGGGATAAAGGCTGTCTTTCCCTTCTGTGCTTCTGTCTTGGGGAGGTGAGGCAGTTTTTATATTCTCATTAAGCACTTCCAGTCCCTACCACCATGTATGTACATAAGAATAGCTGTGTGAGTTGAGTTCTAGACTTCATCTAGTCCAACATTCTGTTCACCCAGCAACCAACAAGTTGCCAATGGGATGTTCAGCAGCAGGACATTTATTTATTTATGTGTTTATTGATTGTATTTATATCCCACCTTTTCTCTGCAAAGAACCCATACATAATCTTCCTTCTTCTTTTCATTTTGTCTTCACAACAATTCTGTGAGACAGGTCTGACAGAGTGCATGCCCAAAGCCCAAGTAGTCACCTAGTGAGCTTCATGGGTGCATGGGGACTAGAACCCATATCTTTTGAGTCCTGATCCAAGATTCAGACCACTATACCACACTGGCTCTGATACTAGAGGTAGCATATTAGTAGCCAGTGATAGCCTTCTCCTCAGTGAATTTTTCCAGTACTCTTTTATATACATCCAAATTGGTGTCCATCACATCTTATGGAAGTGATTCCCATAGTTAAACGATGTCTTGTATGAAGAAGTACATCCTTTTGTCTGTCCTCAATCAGTCTGATCAGATGATCCTGGCTTCTTGTATTATAAAGAAAGAAGGAAAATGTCTCCCTACCTACTTTCTTGGCACTGGATCAAAAAGTGCGGCAAGATTTGGCTCATGGGATCACTTATAGTTGGACACGACTGAACATCTGAACAACAACTACTACTTTCTCTGTATATGTAAAAGAGTGTGTTCTTCCTTCATGCCCCCCTTACTTGACTTTTTCATTACGCTAAACCATCCCAGATGCCAGAATTGTACACAATATTCTAAATGTGGTCCACTCCATAGATTTACAGACCTTGTTGTTTTCCTCAACAGCTCTGAGACAATCCAAGAGAACGATGAGCTCTTGGGTCTCATTTCAGTCCACAGGGCCAAAAAGTTACATCCAAGACAATAATTTCTTTGTCACAGGCTTTCTTCTCAGATGGTCAGTGAAGTGATTTGGAGATATCGAAGATGAATGGTGTGCGATTCTGACACATGGAAATCATTTACACTGAACATAGTTAGACTGAGGAATTCACTTCCAGAAGATGTGGTGATGGTCACCGACTTAGATGGCTTCAGAAGGGGATTAGAATAATCTGTGGAAGTTAAGGCTACCAAGGGCTACTAAATGTGCTCTCAGTATACTGCCCCCAGGGTTGGAAGCAGCATCCCTCTGGCTACCAGTTGCTGAGGAAGAACAGTGAGCTCCCACCATCATGGGCTTTGCAGAGGCTTCCGAATGGCCACTGTGGAAAACAGGGAGCTCCACTTGATAGGCCTTCCACCTGATGCAGCAGGGCTGCTCTTTTAATGTTCTGTTGATTGTGTTTGTATGTTAGAATAAAATTTTAACACATCAGATTTTTTTTCCTTCTCTTTCTTCCTCTTGTTCTGTCTCAAAAAATCTAGGGCCTCTTTATCTTTTTCTTCCACTGTATATTCAATAAAGAAGTGAGGAAACATTTGAAGAATACTTTCACTGGAAAGAAGCCACTTCCAGATGACTCCATGACAACAAGAGCTACCCTGTTAACTGTAAGGAGCAATTTTGCATACGCATAATAGCCTGTATATTGACAACTATGCAAATACTGCATTTTATCCGGTCTCCCTGCTCTCTCTTCTCTCAGCAATTGGCTCAAAACTGTTTGTTTTAAATTGAATACTCTCTTGCATAAAATAGAGCTTTGACTTTCTAGCCATCCAGATATAGTTGGCATTTTAATTATTCTCAGTAGTTTTCTTATTGTGTTTATAATTAATGATTTATTTAGCTAACCTCTGGAAATCATGAATTACAATTGATTGTTTTTTCAGCAAAACTTTCAGAGAACCTAAAACATTATTTTTAAAGGGTAAAAATACAGTTATGTAATCCTGTTTGTGATTTGATACCCAAATTAATTTCTGCATGGATTATACTTGCAGCCTTGTTCTGTAATTAACACTTCTTTTTGTTACTTAGATTTTATTAAGTCTTGTTTGCAGCATTAGGATATAAACAGCAACACTTCAACAGCTTTTTCCCCCACCATCCCATTATGTAACCCCAATCTATTGACCGAACTAAATCTGACATTGGGAAAGTGAGAAACAACAAGAAAGAGCTAAGAAGAAACAACAACAACAATAAGACAGACAGAGAGAGAGAGAGAGAGAGAGAGAGAGAGAGAGAGAGAGAGAGAGAGAACTTGCACTTATTCTCAAATCAAACACATTCTAGATTTTCTTTTCTCTAAGTGAAACATCTATATTAGTTTCAGATTTAGACATTTAGATTTAGATTTAGACATTAGATTCAGAAACCTATAGCTTCTCAGTTGTTATATTTCAGTTAAAAATATAATTGATATAATTCAATTAAAAACAGTTTATTTATTGTTAGAAATATATAATTAGAAACCACCAGTGGATATTTGCATTGCATCAGAACTATACCATTTTTGCCTTAGAACAGTTCTGCATACCCTTGGGGTCCAGGTATATAATAAGTGTGCAGACAAATTATATTAAAGGGCAGTTTTGTAGGAAAAGGTCACTTTCATTTGTTGAAACACTCTTTCTACAGATACTGAACATGAACACGGTGTCATGGGGTACAGGCAAGGTTAGCTTATGTCTAATTGAGTTTTCAGTAGTTGTTAAAGCAAAAAGATGTATGACTCAAATAGCTTTTGGAAATTCTAGTAAATTTTGAGGAGGGTTCTTTGCAATATAAATGAAGTCTGTGGTCTATGTTTCTTAAAATAGAACTCTATTGACTTAAAGTTACATTGAGCAGTTGCCCCTATCTGCTTGGATCTTAAATGATCCTGGTCCAGAATGTTATCAAGCTACATAGTTTACAGAAAGTGTTGGCATGGAATATGGAGTCTGGGTCAGATCAAGTGAGACAGAATTCTGGAAACCTCCAAGAAACCAGGGCAAGTTTACCGTGCCTAAAGACTGGAGGAGAAATTTTAAGTTCAGTGGGACAATATTTGCTACATTCCATGGATTTAAGACCACTAGCTATTTAATGACATTTTTTTGCCATTGCCAGCATAGTTTAATAATATATCTTCCTTTTTATTGTCAAGCTCATCCCTGAGTTAATGTTATAACTGCATCTGATGCCCAAATTCTTGATTATAGAATTCCTATGGTTATCTTAAAGTTGGACTTAAAGAGAAGCAAGGCATCCACATATATGATCTTTTTTTATTTATGATTCTCTTTTAATGCCCACTATGTCATAATTTTCACAAATTCTTTCTATAGAGCATTTCACATATTACACAACCTTATAAACTTAATGTACCCTTAAACATACACTTAAAGTATCTTAGATATGCATCTAATGTATAAAGTTACTCATAAGGTTTTGTTACCTTAACAGTATGGATATGTGACTAAACATTTTTTGTCTGAGACTTCATTAGAAATAGGAATCAAATGAGGAATTATTCCTAATCTCTTCCTTAAGGCTCTGAAACGTTGACTTTTAGGAACAACAAAGACTTTGTTTTGCCCTACTAAAGTTTGAAGCCTATCCCTAAGGAATATTATTGAGGCTCAGGACTTTTTTTGTCATAGAACGCACCGGAATGGCATTCCGGCACCTTTTTTCCAATGAATTTTATGAAGTGATTTTGAATTGCCGCCTGATCAGCAGCAAACATCATTAACATAGTGCCTGTGGGCTGCTTTTGTGTCTGCTATCTGCTATCTGATAGTGAGATAGTGAGGGTGCTGCTCAGCTTGGGATGCTGCTCGGCTTGGGATTGGTGTGTGTGGTCGCACACTGAGTGCTTGCTGCCAGCGGCGACGTGAATTCCGGCACCTTTTTTTTTTTTTTTTGCAAAAAAAGCACTGTTAAGGCTAATCCTTTTTTGCACTAAAAGTTCAAGCCCTGTACAACTTAATATCTGTTTGAGTGCCAAAGCTCATGACTAGAATAATCATATGATGTGGCTCTTGATGGGATGTACCACTTCAGGTAACAGGAAGGAGAAGCATCGCTCAGAATGGCCCACTGTATAAAAGCTATCTGAAAACAAAAGAGTGGCATGCCAGGTAGCAGAACAATAAGAACTGTCTCCCATGAGATGCTGTTTTCTTTAGAGTAGCAGTTAAACATGCTTTATCACATGATTCTGCTTTGTGGATAGCTTGGCTCTAAAACTATTCAGCTTTTGGAGAGATTGGTGGATGTTTTCTGATGGAAGGGGGTTTTATCAACTGAATTGCAACTTCTTTTCTTTCTTCTCAGCGGTCTCTGAACTGTAATGATACATACGTAGAAGAGCCAAATATGTATCGCACCACTATTGGGGAATCCACAGTCTCCTTAGAAAGCACCGTCAGGTCAGCCAAGAGTCACAATAGCTACCTTGCTTATATTCTCAGGTAATCTGGTGGTGGTGCATGGCTTTCCAGCTTCCCTTTCCTCTTTGTACTGCTTTTGCAAATGAAAAGACTGCATTGCCACTTTGGCATGAATCTGACCTTGCTTCTTGTATTTTGCATCTATGCTTCCTTTTTCCATACACTTTGATTGGACCATTCCAAGAAAATGTAGATTGGATGGTCAATGCAGTGGCTTTACTAATATTATCAGTCTGTCCACCAGGCAAATGTTACATTGACAGAGCATACTAGAAGTGGCAGTGTGTTGGTGTTGCTTAGACATTGAAATGCTGACTTGGAAAGCGCACTCTTTTTCTCAGAGATGAAGCTGCCCAGAAGCTTAGTGTGTCAAGCCAAGCAAGAGCTGGCCATGTTGAAGGTGATTCCTCCATCTTCCGCAGAAAGCCATCAAAATCCAATGGTGAGAGAACAAACATGCATTTCCTCTATTGCATTTCCTCTATTTCTTTCCTTCCTCACTGTTAGTTTCACCTATCATTTTTTTCTGCAGAACATGATTCTGATTCGGACAGTGAGTTGTCCCTTGATGAACACAGCAGCTCATATGCTTCCTCTCACTCTTCGGATAGTGAGGAAGATGTGATGGATGCAGAAAAGAAATGGAGTGTAGCCACCCCAGTCAACAATGACCGGGCCCCAATTCATAGCACTCCCAAAGGTAAGAGAATAGCTGCCAGAACTGTGGCTCCTGGTACATAAATGGACATAAAAATAATCTGAAATTCTAATCTGTTTCAGATGGTTTAATGATCTCATCCTTAGCTTATGTAGATTAAGATACCAGAGAAGCCAGTCAGAAGGCAGTCACCCTAGACCTGTCTTCCCCAACCTGGTGCCCTCCAGATGTGTCAGACTACACATCTCCTGCTATCCCTCAGCTAGCATGGCTGGAAGGAATGCTTAGAGTTCTGGATGGACACAGCTAGACTAGAGGGCACCAGGTTGAGAAGGCTGGTCTATGGCAACACTGCCTCATAGTCGGTTCATAAGCATAAAAGGGAAAAGACTAAACTAAAGCTGTTCATGTCCAGGCAAGTGAAATGCATGCATCTCCAGAAGGTCCACTCAATCTTTTGCTACTCAACCACTGTTACTTTGGATCAGGGGCATGGCAAGCAATCAAATTGGCAAGATAAGGAATCTATACATTGTAGATGCTGCTTAACAAGAAGCCTTTCCCATTATTTATTGATGGTACACAGAAAAGGTCATGGGAGAACCATGCGGTAGGAAAGACCAAACAAGAACATCAAATAACACTCCCTTCCTCTCATGAAATGCAGATCTTGGATCCAGCCTACTTATCCAACCCAAAATGGGGGATCAGAGCAGTGAACAATACAATAAAGCAACCCTATTCATATTTACATTTTCAAAACATATTCTGAAAGTCAGAGTTCCTATCCAAGAGCCTAAACCTGACATTATGGGCAACTCGGTTTTGAGCTAAAATGTGTGGGCATACTGATCTACTGGTTTATTTTCAGCAAAACCAGAAAGCTCTCTCATTACTTAATGGACCCTCCTCTGCTCTGAAGATACTTGCTCGTAAAAGGATTATAAGAAGAGCGAAGCTGTTCCCTCAAACTGAAGCTTCCTAGTTCCTCTGTGTGCACGTGTTTACATTTGGTTTGGTTTTGTTTTATTGTCCTGCAGTTGATTCAGTTCCCAACCATGTGAAACCCTACTGGCCTCCTGAGGGTATAGCAGCAAGTGACAGTGAAGAGCCAAACGGAAAGCAAAAGTTGAAAGTAGAAACAAAGGTTAATGTGGAACTTCACCGGGAAAACCAAGCGAACCACAGCAGTGAAGCACCTCAGGACAAAGAGAAGGAAGGGCAGCAGAAGGAGAGCAAACCACCAGCCCAGCAGAACCATCAGCAGCCAGAGCAGCGGAAAGGTAACAAAGAAGAGTTGGAATATGCTCACACAAGATGTTGTGTTGGCCTGCACTTGGATGGTTTTAGAAGGGAACTGGATTTTAGAAGGGGATGGAGCACATGGTTACGACTGGCCACTGCTTTCATGACACTGTGTTATCTCCTGGATTACAGGCAGTAACTGGGTTCACACTCATGCCCTCATTGTGAGCTTCCAACACATATTAGGTTGACCACTGTGGGAAACAAGATGCTGGGCAAGAGAGGACTTTGGTCTCTTCTTAGTCCTTAATAAATGTTTTGTTAAAATGAAGAAGAATGGAACACAGAGTCAAGGTTATAGCTCAGGGCTACTTCATGCACTGTAATTTTGGGTTTGGCAACCTGCTTTAGTTGGTTTCCTTTCGGCTGTCCTTCTGCCAGTATTATTCAAGAAGGCATTTGGCCTGTAAATGGGTCTGTTGGGTTGGCTGCTTTATTTTCCTGTTCTGTAATTGCTGTATCTTAGTGCATGGTCATGTATTGTTTGATTGTTTTAATCAATTTTAATTGTGCCTATAAGCCATCCTGAATGTCATGTTTGGTAGAAAAGTGGGGCATAAATCAAACCAAACTAAATCAAATAAATAAATCATACTTGCAAGATCAAACAACTTTGCCTATCCTTCAACTCCCCTTATTCTTCACCATAGGCTGTACAAGCTAGGGCTGATGGGAACTGTAAACCAACTGTAAACCCCTGCTTCAGTTGTAAACCTAAAAAAGTAGAATGTGAAGGGAATAGACATTTGAAAGTCTGTGCTTCATAAGTGGTGGGGAGCTGAGGTTGATTGTATCTCCCTGTTGAGTGTAAGCTTGGTGGCATACCTAGGTTTTCCTCTGCCTGACATTTTGTTTATTTATTTATTTAGAAAATGTCTATGCTGCCCCATTCGCTGAAGCCTCGGGGCGGCTCACAAAACATTAAAATATAATACATTAAAAATATAAAACGAATTACAATATAAAATAAGTCGCCCTGGCCAAAGAATAAAATAAGGAAATAATATTTGCAATTAAAATGACGTTTGAATAAAAAGGTCTTCACCTGGCACCGAAAAACAAATAACGACGGTGCCAGGCGGACCTCTCTGGGGAGCGCATTCCATAGATTGGGCGCCACCGCAGAGAAAGCCCTCCTCCGAGTACCTACCCTCCTAATTTCCTTCACGGAGGGTTGCCGGACAAGGGCCTCTCCCGCAGATCTCAGGGGGCGGGCGGGCGTATATGGATGTAAGCGCTCCTTCAGGTAGCCAGGACCCAAGCTGTTTAGGGCTTTATAGGTCATCACCAACACCTTGAATTGGGCCCGGACTTCAATGGGAAGCCAGTGAAGCTGACGGAGGACTGGAGTCATGTGAACATAACACCCAGTCCCCGTCAGCAGCCTGGCAGCTCTTTTTTGAACCATTTGAAGTATCCGGACCATCTTCAAGGGTAGCCCCACATAGAGCCCGTTACAGAAGTCAAAATGGGAAGTCACCAACGCATGTGTCACTGTCGCCAGGCAGTCGTACTCCAGGTAGGGGCGCAGCTGATGGATACATGAAAGGTATTGTGACATGCCTAGGAGATGCAGAAGACATGTTGAACTTTCTTTAATTTAGGGGTGGGTGGCTGGGTGGCTCCAGATGTTTGGGCCTACAATGGCCATCATTCCCAGCCAGGATCACTAATTGTGAGGGATCATGGGGATTGTAGGCCAAAACTTCTGAAGGACCACAAATTGCCCAACCTGCTGTGATGCCTTGAGCCAATTCACCTATCATTAACGTCTGCTGAGAGTACACATGGAAATAGTTAATTTATCTTGTTTTATCATAGTTTGAAATAATGTTGTAAGCCATCCAGAGACAACAATAATGGACGGCATACAAAATTTTAAATAAATAAATTAGAGGTTCAACATTTATTTTTAAAAGAAAAGGTTCATTGTTCCTTATTAATTACAGATCCAAAATTTGTTTTCAAAGGATTGCCATTCATCTCTTCCCTTTTCTTTCTATTACAGGCATATTGAAAAATAAAGTTACCTACCCTCCTCCATTAGTGGACAAAAACATGAAGAATCGGCTACGGGAAAAACTGTCAGATTATAATCAAACCACTATCTCATCCAGAACCACTTCTATTGGGACTAACAATGGAGTTCGCTCCAATTCAGACTCTGGGGTAACAATAAAAAACCCGAGGAGAGATCAGCCTCCAGAACAAATAAATGGTTTAGCTATGAATGTCCACGTGGGAACAGTAACGGCTGAAACCTCAGATTCTGAGTGAGTGCCATTTTGGAAAATGGCTTTCTCAACCCTACTGACCTATGTTGGGTTTCTGATGCTTTCTCCTTTCCACCGAGTTAACACTTTGTTTTTCCAGTGGCCTATTTCAGACATTCATTCTAAGCTCCATTCTAAGACCTTATCTTATGAAACCAGGAATAAGCACTGGGGTCATTTGCTCATTTCTTTCCCTCTTCTACCTCCTCTTCCTCATGTGCCCTAGCCTGAGCACTTCAGTCCTGGTGAGTTCTCAGTTACATGTGAAATAAGGAACTCTGACTTAATATCAGTTCGTAAACCAGAATCAGATCCTGGAACTTAATCATTAACTTCTCCTGAACTAACCACCATCTTCTTCCAAGCTAACCCTTTACCAGTTACTTTAGTCCAAGAACTCCCTTTTATGTTCATTGCCTGTCAGTCATTGTTCCCATGTTTGTCCTTTGCACTGCATCCCAGATGAGCCTTATTGTAGGAAGCTTCGACTGTTGAAGCACGGTTGTCCCCCTGCATGATAACATACTAAACCAACTAGGTAGTTTCACTTAGAATTGTTGGCTTGCCTCTGTTTAACCTTCAGTTGCATGATTACTTCTTCTCACAAACAGAGGCAGTAATGAAACTTCAATTTGAATCATCAGGAAATTGTGATGACTCTTGTGACATGGAAGGACACCTTCACCGTGACATCACTGGGAACCTCTTGAGTCTGCGTATTCATGTCCCATAATGACATCACATCTGGGGAACATTTCATATTGCGGAAACTTGTGACTATACTGCTTCCTATGAGGCACTCACTATGGCTACTTAGATTACTATCAGTGCCTGATGGATTGTGTAAATTGTGCCAAAACACATGGAGACCAATAAATGGAACTCACCATTGGAGAATTATGCCTTTCAAAAAAAGTTGACAGAGCCATAGCATTGTTGCGAGGCCTGCCAGGCAGGACAGCACATACCAAGAAGTGACTTATTCCTGAAGAATAAATGCTCAATAGTACAGCAGAACATACCACCAACTAAGTACTACCTGCTCTTAAGACAGGGGTTTTGTCCAATGGGATTTCTACACTCAGGAGGAAAAAAAGATCACACCAAGTGCCGCTTAATTTCTTCATCAGCTTCTACTCTACGCCAGCTTGTGGTGGACACTTTTGTCTTAAAATACCATAATTTTGAGATATAAATATATATATATGTAGATAATTTTATATATTTTGTATTGTGATCCTTTAAAAAGGTTCTTTTGTACATTTCACATATATACTGATTTTCTTAAATTTAATAGCAGGAGAGCAATTGTGAAAGAGCTTTGATATTTTTTATATTAAAAAAGAATTGCACAAGTATACTTGAATTTGGCATTTGAGGGGAATGGGGGAAAATGTAACTAATGCTTGTACCAAGCCCAACTAAACTGTGATGCAGTCTTTTTTTTAAAGGTTGGAAAGTGTCCTGGGACATCCACATTCATAAGCAGAATTTGTCAGAAAAAATTGTCATCTTTTAAAGAATACAGTGTGCATTTTTATGGTCTCGACACCAACCAACCAACCACAACAAGATATATCTGGTTCTAATTTCTATGGCAATCTGACCTTTTCCCCACTTTTCTTCTATGTGCAGACATGTCCTTTTTACAGTGATGTTCACATCCTGTCCTTAGCAGGATTTGAACTGTTCTTACAAGTAAAAATATTTTTTAATATTATCAATTGTTTGTAGTAAATTTACGTAAATTTTCATGCTGGTCCACATTTAACTTTGCTTTTCAAAAAAGCAAAATACAGTAATAAGCCTACCATGGAAATTGTGTAACGTTTCATTTGCTTTTGCAACTGCTCTCAACTTTATTTGCCAAAGCAGAACAGAAGAGGCCCTAAGGAGGCGTCAGTTCTAATTCCCCAGTTATTCAACAGTATTTACAGGGTGGGTTTTGGTTTTTTTTTTTTGGGGGGGGGGTTACAAGTAAACTAAGTGTAATTTTTCCATGGAAGGTGAACAAAAATATTTGAACAAACTGAGGAGTAGCATCTATTTCTGTGGCGTTTACAAAGCAGGCTTAGAGTTTGTATTATATTTTGAGGATATGTGTTTTGTAAGATGCCTTTCACCTTGGCTAAGCCCTTCCTCCTTGGGGCACAATCCAATGGGAATTTTGTTCTTGCACGCCCCTCTGGAACAAACCAAAGCTGTGCTAAGGTACAGCTGAATAGCGGGTGCTAGAAGTCAAAAAGTCTTTCCTCCAAATGAAAGATTTAGCTATAAGCTCTCCAGAGAGTTTTAAGCAAGGCTGACATTCCTAGGGCCCTTTTCATGCCTGAAATAATGAAAATACTGGCATACCTTATATTGCTCTTGTGTTGATTATTGTGATTATAGTATATGTGAAGTGCTTTAAATACCAGACACTTAAATTTCTGGTAGAAATACTAAATGTCTGCTTTTGAGGAACACACTCTTATTTCATGCTTTTCACTCTCAGCTAAAAAGGAGCAAGGAGGACAGCTTGACTCTTCAGGACCATTGTACCGTTGAAGCTATAAAAGTCTCAAATGCTTCCTCATCAGGTAGGGAGGGAGTCAGGGATCAGTGACGTGGACTACCTGATCCTCCTTCCCCCAGGGCTTTGAATGACCTGTTAGAAACTCATAACAGTTTCAGGATCTTCTCTGAGGAAGCCTAGCAGCCCTGCCTGGGAGGTGGTTGTGGAGAACCTGGAGACAAAACCCAAGCCAGAAGGGCTGGTCTTTTCCATACACACAAACATTTAAATTGAGTTACAGGATTGATTGCTGATTGATTTTCTTTGCCTGTAGTAATATATAAACAGAATTCCCATTGGATTGTGTCTGTTGCTTTTCACAACATTTGATCCCATTTCCAGTTAAATGGGTATATATTTTGTATATAACATTCATTCTCCTAGCTACCAAAACAGTCTTTCTTCCTTGTGTGCATGTATATAGAAAAGAGCAGATTCAGGTCAGACATAAAACAATATTAGTAAAAAAATAGTAAGCAGAATAAATGAAATAAAATATCCACCAAGCTTGCACAAGTTTTAAAATATTCTCAAGCAATAGATTTCAATCAATTTTCAGCTTTCTAATTCATTATTGAGAAAGCATGCCTACTAATTGAGTGATGCAATAATTAAAACATATCCTTTTATAAGTAAATAAAGCCTTTATAGTACACAGTGGCATAATGGTCATACAGGCTACATGCCTTTTGCACTACAGAATTTATATTTGTTTAATGGAGAAGTTGTTAAATTCAGTATAATTGTTCTGCACACTCTCCCCCTCTTATTATATATGCACACATGAACATGAAACGAATTAGTAAATTACAGATGTAGATGCAGAAGTGCCTTTCTAGAAACAAGGCCTGGTAGATACTGGGCAGATCCATGATCCACCAATATGTAGAAAGTCATGGTCATCAGAGTGTATTCTTAATTCATACAATAATTTTGTCTCATATTTATAATACTTGATGTTAGAACTCACATTGTTGCCCTTGGTTTGTTCTTTTACATAGAAGATATTAATCCTAAGGGCATGAATGTGATCCAGCTCATTAAAGCACTCTTTCACCCCATTGATTTCAGTGGAAAAGTTAACTATGTGCTTAAATCTTTCTCTCTCTGAAATTAATGGGCCTTAAAAGTTCTTAACTTTGGTTAGTGTTTCCATTGAAGAGATTATGAATGCTGACGTGAGGTTTTTCTTGTATTCAGAAGTATACCATGTTATTTAAAGCATGAGTCATAAATGGATTTTTAACAAACAAAAATTCAATTTATTTGGTCATCTTTTACCAACCCTGTTCTTAAGAGACCTTTTCAGAGAGGAGAATCTGGCTCTTTAAAAAAATTGCTTTCTTGGTATGTGAAACTTTGATGTAAAAAAAGTTTTGAATGTGTAAGTATCTGCCTATCATCCTTGGATATATGCTAAATGATGATACAACTGTTTAATTTGTATGTGTATATTTTGCCCCAATGAGATGTAGTTAGCTATTTTTTATTAGAATGGTTGCAGTAAAAGTGTCAGCTGTGCTAATCACAGAAAAAGTGAGGAACTATTTTTTACCATTTATGGCAGATTAGACACTGGAGGGATTTTTAAACAAATGTCTATTTATTGATGTGCAGAACACTGGAATTCAAGCACAGCTGAGAGGAAATGTTAACAATAAATTAAGGTTTCCAGTTTGTATTTATGCTTCGACCATTTCTTTCTTTAAAAGGATGATAGCTGGTGAATGTTGCTGTCTTATATTTATACCCCACTTTGATGTCTGAAATCAAAACTCAAAGAGATTTTTAAAATACCAATAAAATACTGGCAAAACATAAAATGAAATGAAAACAGACATCTAGAAATGAACACGTTTCCAGTAAAAAGGGGAAATAAAACCCCATTGCTGCAATCCTATGCATATGTAGCCAGGAAAAAGTGGTTCACATCAGCATCTTGTTCAACAACGTGTCTTTGACTCCTGCCAGCAACCCACCCCAAGAAGAGGCACCCTCATTTCTCAGTAGCTGCAAAGAAAGATGTGGTGGCAGTTGGACAGAGTGACACCAGTCAGCATTGCTAAGATGCACACATCTTAAATCCTCCTGTTCTATGCAGAGTGGAAATCAGCCTCTCTGCATAACCAATGAAGAGTTGCTAAGCAGCCAGGCACTTGGCTCTCATGGCCTTGTCCAACAGTGAAGGCGTTCTGATTGCAAGCACATCTAAATGCATCCGAAAGTGCATTTTTTGTATTGCTCTGTTGTGATCTTTCTGGCCACTCAACAGCCCCTGAGGTAAAAAGCCAGAGAGATTATAGATTATATTTCCAGGCTAACACCTGCCAAAGAAAGCATTTTCCTCCCTGCACTTCAGTTCCATGAGGGTTCTTAGTGTGAGAACAACAATCATAGCTGCTTTGTATAAAGTATTTACAGAATTACATTCCTTTATCTCAGAGTAAAAATTAAAAGGTTATTTGGCTAGGGGGCAGAAAGAGAGAAGTTGTGAGGAAATTTTAGGATAAGGAGGAAACAGAAGAAATCATCCTGGATACAACAACAACCCTAAGAAAGACATGGTTTCCAGACAAAGAATCTATTTAAAAGAGTGAATATATGAGGCAGACTTTGTCAAGTCCTTGAATACTAATTTTCTCATGGTCCGGTAAAATAAATTTCTCTGGCACTCATGAGAGGAATACAGGCTTGGTATCAAAATCAAATCAAAAATAATTGCTAGATAATAGTTATCATATGTGATATTTGAAAGATCTTGTTTCTAATACTATTGGATAGATGACAGGGAGAGACTTTCTAAAGGTCTTTTATTTCTGTGCACAAACCTTTAACTGGTTGCATTTATTACAGGAATGTACATAGTGCTGAACATTATGGTGCATTGACATTACAGTGATAGACTACTGTAATGAGCTTGAAGCTGTGAAACTCTTAGTATCATGAACTACAGCACAAAAGACAAGTCTTTTGTTACTTGCAATGTGCGGCACTCAGCACTTGGGTAGAATTGACCTACTATATAGGAAACGGGTGGCATCATATACAATATTCCTTATGATGTGTCATGCACGCTGTTGGCACTATAAAAGTATGGGAGAGAGCGCCTGACCCCCCGCAGAACTTGCAATCTAAAACCCTGTAACAAGCGAGGGCAGGGAATGGAGGCATAGGTGGCCAGAAAGAATAAGTTAGGCACAGTATACTTTATATTTTAGTTAGGCACAGTATACTTTAACTGAGTTACAATTAGGTCTGCATTCTAAGCAGTGGTATCAAGGATCACAGAAAAGGTGAGTTTTGAGGTAGGATTTGAAGGAAATCAGAAAGTTTACATCACACAGGTGTTCTGGGAGGCGATAGGAATGTAGTAGTCTGGAGGAGTAAAAGTCATTTGACCTGGCTGAGGCTGGAAGTGCACAGGAGTTTATAATTAAGTGTCCCAATAAGGATGCCACTGTGCCTGACAGCACATTTTAAATCAGTTCTACCAGAGTTGGGCATCATCATGGCTATCTTTTGATAAGCGGTCTAGCCATGATAACTATACTCAGAAAATACGTGGTTGTTTTCTATGGGCTTCCACATCGTAGTGCTACAGTCCATTATGATGGCTATCGTCTCCCCTGCCATCCTCCAAACCGAGGCCCACTGGTGTCCCTTCCTTCTATCTCCAGTAGGTATTGACTGGTGGAATTTAAAGGTGATTTAATAGCCCAAGACCACAATCCTCCTGGTCAAGTTCCTTCATCCAAAAGCACTGGCTTTCCCAGGGGCTGGGATATTTACTGCTTTCAGTCTTGAGGCACAGAAAACATAACTCTCAACATGACCAATAATTAATTATATTTATTTCTATGCATATAAATAGGAAGTTTGGCTATAATTTATTAAAAAGCAAAGAACTAGTATAAAAAAATTCTGCTCATGGCAGTTCAGAGATGAAATTCAGTCATTTGATGAGTATGAAAAGCAAGCCCATCAAGCACTAATGAATCATATTGCTATAATAAGGTTTCCATTGATACATAATAGTTTAAAGGCTCCTGCTTATTTTGGGTGCTCTCTCCATTATAGGGTTTTTTTTAATAATGGACAAAAAATGTTCATGTTTTCTATGAAGGCAGCATTAAACAATATCCACCTGTGCCTTTGATGACATTACAGTAGCAGAAATTAAGTGCTGAACTATGCACAAGGGGAGAACCCAATGAAATTTGTGTTAGCATAAATTCAGTTGCACATTTAAGATTGCTGAACCAAACCTTTGGATACCACCCACTGTGTGTTCAAAACTATTTTAATCACTACAGCTTTAAGTTTCATAAATGCATGTTTCTGAATAGAGTGAACTTTTATGGGCTGCAATGAGAACAAGAACGATGCCTCAAATGGCATGCGTACCTAAACGCACATCCTAACAGTATGCTTTGCAATCATGCCTTGTTTGCCATCACTCGGAATAATGAGTATAATTATAATGACCATGGTACTTTAATGGTTGCCTTTCACTTCGTCATTTAATAATGAAGATAAATATTACAAGGTAACCCAGGATTATTGCAACCCTATGCCAAACCAAAAACAAAATGGGTTGACTCCAGATTGAGCAGTGTGCCACTAGGCTGAGAGAAGCAGCCTTTCCCACTGTAGTCCCTTCGATCCCTGAAAATGCTACACAGAAGGGAGTAAGGTAGGTCATGAAGAGAGGAGAAGTGGCAACCTTAAGTAAATACTGAGGGGAGAAAACTTCATGAGAGCTGTACTCACTATTTTGGTTATAGATCCATCCAGAAGCCACAGCAACAAATAAAAATACAGTAATACTAAGATACTAATACTATTAGTATTAACACTAATACTAGTATTAATATCACTAGCATTAATACTAGTACTAATACTAATAGTACCAAGAATAGGAGCAAAATGGTTTGAATCACAATACAAGCCTAAATATATTCAAAATATTGTTGGATGAATTTGCCTGCTACTTGAGAATAAATTACGTTATCAAAAGTGCAAACTCCAACAAAAATGAAACAGCAAGAACATTAACCTTCTCTGCCAAGAATTTTGCCATAAAATAAGAAACCACAAAAGTTTAACCAGCCCGATTGGACACAGCAAGAAATACGTTTTGTTTTTAGTAAACAGACAGCAGGAAGAATATTATCCAAGAAAGAACAGCTTAGACCTTGTTACTGTCATGCATCAAAACAGACAATTCTGAATGAAACGGGGCCACACTTGGCCCAAGTGATGCCACATCAAGCCTCAACAGAAAACAAAAGAAAGCTGGCAACTCAAGTGTACCCACGAGCCCAGGATCGTGGATAATGAGCCTCATAGCATCCTGCACTTAATGGGAACACAAATTCATTAATCAATGCTAGCAGCACCAGCTCCATTCATAAAAAGAAATTATCTTTACCCTGGGAGCAGCAGTAAGGACGACACTCTTCCATTTTACAGAGGGATTAAATTAATGTCTTTGAGCATTGCACCATTGAGGGAAAGTGGAAGGACTTGAGTGACCAGAATACCTGAGATGTTGGCACCTTCAATCTTGGCTTAATGCAATAAACATGCTTCTTTTGCATAATTTATAAGTAATTTAAAAATAAAGCTAAGGAAAAAATGCTCTCCTTACTGAAAAATTGAAGGCATAAGAAATCGCCATTTCACCATAAAGCTGTTTATATACACATATGAGGTTCTGTTTGGATGACCTAGCATTGAACTCTTAACATGCTTTAGGTTGCAACTGTATGGCCTCCTGACACTATCTTGAGGGCCGCAGGATTATTTGGAGCACCATTCTACGGTCTTATAGTTTTGGAGCAGGGACTTGGTACCCCAGGCCCCCAGGCCAGCTCCTTCTCTGAGGTTGTAAGCTGGCCTCAGGACAGCAGAAAAGGGGGCATGCCAGGGGGAGGCAGAGAATTGAGGAGGCAGAGACTGAGGCCTGATTCCATACCCAAGAGGTGTCCTGGTCTCCCTCTGAGGACACGATCTGAATGCAATGCAGGGTGCAAGGTGATCCGTGGCAGAAGTCACTGCCCCCGCCCCTGCCCCGTGCATTGGCTATGCAAGCGCCTCCGAGTTGCTTCTTCAAAATCAGAAGGCACTGGACTGCACCCTTAGCTACCGTCCGAGTCACACTGGCAGGGATACAAAGCATAGTACAAAGGTTATTTTCTCTTGCACACTTGGTTATTTCCAAGCACACGATGGAAACATTTTGAGTGTATTTTTAAAATAAAACTCAAACAAGTTAATGATGAGTGTACTGGCATTCTGACTGATGGCTGAACCTGTACTCTAAAACCCATCATAACCATCACTAACCTTTTTTTTTAAATAAATCATATGCCATTTTAAAAAGCCCAAGGAATTAGAGAGTGAATGGTTTTATCTGTACTGCATATTGGCTGACCTGCTGCTCTTCAGGGATCAGTAACTCATCTCTTGTGCTCTCAACTCAGTGAAAATAGAAGAAAAGAAGACCAAGATCACCATGTACATCAATATCTATAAACTATTTTGGTAAATGACTGTTAGGGCAGAACAAAATGTTTTAAGGCATGTGGTGATGCCACCAGATACAGAGACTGCATCTTAAGCTCTTTCCACTTCCTGGTAAAGTGTTAAGGAATTTATGCCATATTCCGACACCACTGCAGTATTTCACCCTCCCTGACCCTCCCAGGGAGAGAGATGGAGGAGACAGGTAGCACAAACATAGCAGCAGAAGGATGCCAGGTAATTGGCCTACCTGGTTGGGGATGATGGGAGTTGTACACAAATGCATCATGGAGGCATCAGGTTGGGATGCTGTGCTACAGAAGGGGCAGCAAGTTCAACCTGCGACTGCCATTTTAGCAGTAGCCTTGAGTGCCTGAGAATGCATAGTTTTGTCCTCAATAAGGACATTTGCGGTGGTAGAGGCTCCTAAATGATGCCATCGGTATTGTTTTCCACATGCTTGCTTTGATTTAAAGACACTGACTGATCCCACAGAGCTAATTTCTGCTTTGCTTTTTTTACTTTTTTTATAGGCCAAGTTAGGGTCCATTAAAAGAGTCTTAATGTAATGGCAGACAAGATAGCATTATGGTAATGGATGGGTTTTATACAAATTCAATAGAGAGAGAGAGAGAGAGAATCATAATCCAGAAGAATAGATAGCTATTATCATGAATAACATACCATACAGTAAATGCTAAAGCATACTGACGCACTCAGACTTGTTAAGCTTTAAACTAACCTTTGCAAAGCCCAAGAATAGCTAACCAGAAGGCTTCCTAAAGGCAAACTTCTCCAAATGCCTTTCTACACACACAACTATCTCTCCCTCAATGATCATGTCAAGGTCGCTTTCACAAGGAAGGTGACACCTTCGAACTCAACAGGAAGATTGGAAGCATTCATTCTTTAGCCAGGATAGAGCACGGCGACATACAGAAGTTACAAAAGGCAGAGTTCTTGGAGGAAAAAAACACGGCCTCAAAGAAACTAGTGGAAGTCAAATGCTATGGACAGAGGCCCACAGGCTGACCTCACCATGCAGTCCTTCAGTCCCAGATGTACTCCACCAAGTATGTCAACTAAAGGATAATTGCCATCAAGACCATTAATGTACAGAGAAGCAGAAGACGATGTACACCAAAGAAGATGAGAAGGAAGTACAGCCTTCCTGAATGAGATCATCATCAACAACAACATCATCATCATCATCTCCCCTTTCCCACCCCATTCCTTTTTATTCTGTGTCATGTATTTTAAACCTTATTTGTAAACCACTCTGGAAGATGCTTTGACTGTAGAGTAGGGTAAATACTTTCATGGAATTAATTGTTGAAATAAATAATGCTATGAAATGCAGTCAGCCCTCCACATTTGCAGGAGCTAAGGGCCTAGGACCCTCACAAAAGTGGAAAAAAGCACATATGTCTCTACCCCTGCTCCAAACCTTATAATACCAGTGATCATACATGTAGTGGATTGCTTCTGCCTCTCTCTCAGACCTTCCAGCAAGAACCCCCTTCTTCATTTATTCCATTCCTAAGTTCCTATTCCCTGCCCTCCCTTTCACTCACCAGGGGCTCCTCTTTGCACCAAGGAAATGCCAGAGGGATTTCCCTCTCTGGATAGGCTGGCAAGAAAGCGTGCTTTGAAGGCCCTCTCTCTCAACCCCTTTGCATCTTCTGTTTTCTCTATGGTGATTTTCTACAATAGGCCACAAAACAACAACGACTACAATTACAAATCCCATTGAATTATCAATGGCAAACTCGCAAATTCTCAAATCTGCGAAAGTCAAACCCACCAAAGTTAAGGTTCGACTGTAGTCATGTATATATACACTCACTTTAAATATTGTTAATCTCCACTACCTTTATTTCAGTGGGGGATTTTAAATGAAGAAATTGCTGCTAATATCAACCAGGCCATCGGAAAAGCATTTCTTTGGAAAGCTGCAGAATGACAGCAAGGCAGGGCTATACTATACACACAAAAATGCAAGATGTCTCGGGCTGTCAGGAGACTTGGAGGTACAAGGCCTTGGTTCAAAACTATTCAGCAATTGAATTAACCCAGTTGGGCATTGAATGTTTCACAGAGGCTGGAGAAGTGAAAGAAGAGACCAGCAGAACACTGGTGAGATCACTGATTACAGTAAAAGTGGGGAAATTCACGCGCCATTTTCTTCTACTCTTCCTTTGAACATTTAAGCAACCACAGCAGGTAATGTATAACTTAAATTTGGAATTACCTCCACTGGTGTGTTTGTAGTCTTCCCTTGTTTACTTCCCTTTGCCCTCCACACCCCCAAGTCTCCTAGTTATATCCGGACATTTGGCTGTATTGTTTTAAAACAGTGGTAGCAGGCCAAGTGACCCCAGCATTGCCCCAACAGCTGAGCATTGGATAACAGCACACATAAGGGCCACGCGCATGCTTGGAAAGGAGTAGCGGCGCCAGGCAATGATGTCACGTGCCGTGACTCATTAACCGCGACTTGTCCAAGCTTTCGCAGGACCAGTCAGTGTGCTGCCAAGGATATATATGTATATATGTATATGTATATGTATGTATTTGCTTGGACTGGCTGTTAGTTTTAATACATTCGTTTTTATTAACACAAGATTTTAGCTTTAAGTTTTCTTATGAAAAACTGAAATTTAGTATCTAAGATTTAGCAAAGAGATGTTCTAATTAAGTGACTGAGATTCTTTTAATGTTGTGCTGTCCCCTGGCATATTTGAATCTGCAACATCATATTTAGTTGTTTGTGAAGAATTTATGAAAACAAGAGCAAGGATATATATATTTGCTTGGTCTGGCTGTGATTTTAGCAGAAGCCCCCAAAAGGTAGAAATTGCACTTAGATGCCTTTTTCAGAGCAGGCCAAAAGCTGGTGGTCAATGGAACATTGCCCCCTTGTGCTGGTGTTCAGCAAATTCAAGAAGAGACCCAGCTGAGAATTACTGCCTTAGATTGTTGATTTGGGAAATATCCAATTCTTTAGTATTAACTAATAGAGTTAGCTATTTTTGGTATAGGGATAGATTTGTATTGGGTGCTTCATTTTTTTAAATTTTGTGTTTTTGTAGACTCCAAGTCTTGAACACCAAAAAATTACTACAAAAAATGCATACTTTTACCTTTCAGTAAAAAGCTGTTTGTGTCATTGAAAGCTCTGTTGTTGTGCTTTTCTTTTAAGACAAAAGATGTTATTGTATGAGGGTTTTTTTTCCTAAACGAAAACCTCAGTATTCAGGTTTGATTGCAGTGTTGGCACTTTGTGATAAATGAGTGAGTTTTGGGTTGCAGTTTGGGCACTCGGTCTCTAAAAAGTTCTCCATCACTGTTTTAAAAGAATCCTCAATTAACTCTTTCCCCTGTGAAGGACTTTGTGATGACAAAACTGCCATTGGTGTTTTCTTGGGATTTTCACTAGGCCTTTGGCCAAGTCCTGTTTCCAGGCCTTCCACACAGCAATCCAAAGTGCATCACTTTTTGTTTTCTCCTAGGGCTAGGCTGGAGGGGGAGTCCGGGTGACAGACGCTCCCCAAGCAGCTGGAGATCCCAGGCCATGCCAAGCCAAGAGGGCCAACCTCACTGGCATTGCTTATCCTAGGTTCTTTTCTGGGAAAACCAAGTAGAGTAGGAAAATGTGTTCCTCTTTCCAGCATGTAAAGGTTACATATTAATTTAGGCCTTTATTTACTAATGTAGCCCCTGAACTGGAGAGGGGAAGGGTTAAAAACTGCGTTTGCAGCCAAGTGCTGTGCTAACATGACTTATGTCCGTAACAGGTGCTTTGCATGGTAGCACAGATTGAAGAAGGTCGTTGCTGTAGAAACCTGTTGCTATGAAGAAATAGCTAGAAAATCATCTTAGGTGGTCTTCATACAGCTTGTTCTGACTTGATGCTGCAGTGTTGCTCACAAATTCAGGGACATTTAGGAATGGGTTAAACCATATTGATGCTGCAGGAAATCCTGACCAGAGGTACATGTAAAATTCTAAAAAGCATCTTCTTCATAAGGGGTCTGTGTTTTAAATATCCATACCTGAAAATATTACTATATACTTACATTTTTAGAGTCATTGCAGCCATGTACTGACTGGCAAATAATTTAGAAAACTGAAAAACAAACAGTGTTCCATGGGAATATTATGAACCAAAACATTATGAACCAAACCAAAACAGGTAAGGTAAAGCAGCGTGAAATCTGGGGTGAGTTTGAACCGGTCACTGGCTTCCAGCCTAACAAGCTCAGCCAAATAAAAATAAATGGAGGATTATTATAAGTTACCTTGCGTTCCTTGCAGGAAAAAGATGGGATGTAAAGAAAATAAACACAGAAAATGTACCCTTCCCTGAAGAGAAAATATTTTAAACTATAGAAGAAATATGTTTAAAAAGCTTAATAAAATTCATCTTCCAGACATTGAAGGTATCTATGGCAGGAGTACAAAACTTCAGGCTTGGCTATGGAAGCTCTTGTATATCCAAATGCATTGAATTTTGATACAATTGTGAGACATGATGATATTTTGGATAATGATGGAGGATTGAAACCAAACCAAGAATTACAAGAGCAGGGTATTAATATCTCTTGGTGGCATAAGGTTCAAATACAATCGAGATATGTTACAGATTATAAAATGTGGGGTTTTTATAAGGAGTTAACAACATTTGACCAAGTGATCTTAAACAGGGTGCTGACCCTCCGAAGAAGTTTAAAGTAACTCCATCAGCCGGAAGAATCATGGCCACAGTGTTTTGGGACTCAAAGGGAATTTTATTGATCAAGTACATGAAAAAAGGTGAAACCATAAAGGCAGCATCTTATGCAACCACTCTGCGTAATTTAAGAGAAGCAATTAAAGAGGTGGGGAAAACTGACCGCAGGTGTATTGCTTCTTCACAACAACATGCCCGTTCACATGGCGCATGTTTCAAAAGCTGCTGTGCAAGACTGTGGTTTCAAAAAAATAAACCACCCACCCTATTGCCCGGACCTGGCCCCCAGTGACTACTACCTATTCCCAAATTTTAAAAGATCTTCATGGAAAGTGATTTTCCAATGATGAAGATCTCAAGGCGGCAATTAACGCACATTTTTTAGACAAGAAGGAAGGGTATTTTTTACAGGGAATTGAAAAGTTAATTTCTAGATGTAATAAGTGTATTGAAGTTATGGAGGATTACATTGAAAAATAAATATTATTTCAATTTCTTATTCCTTTTTCTTCATGCTGATACCAAGAATACATTGAACGCCCCTTGTAATCTATTAGGCAATAGATACCATCTATAAAATATTTTATAAAGATTTTCTTTATATGAAGTTGCTAAAGTTACCTTGATATTTCTTTCCCACAACTTTTGCCATTTCTGTAACTCAATATTGTATCCAAAATTTTGTGCCCATGTTATCATAGTTTTGTGCCCATGTTATCATAGTTTCCTTAACTTGTTCATCTTCCATTCTCATATCGAAAAGAAAATTAAACAGTCTTTTAATCATTTTCTCATCTGATGACAAGTTTCTGCCCTTCTTTGGTTTGCAGGCTAAATCCAGCTACAGCCAAATGGCAATACGTGCCCTTGAAGCATCTGTTAGGATCTAGGTTCATCTCTATGGCTTTTACAGCTTCAGAACCCCCTTTGTTAGCATAAGTATTGATTGAGGCTGAATAACAAGGCTAACTCACATTTATGTTTAGAAATAGCTATTATCAGTGAATAAATATGGTATACAAGTCTTAAGCAAGAATGGAACAATGAACTGGAGTATCTTATTTTGTCCTATCAATGGATCACTGTTTTGGTCTTTTTCACAGAAGGAGTAATACATCTTAGGTTACATTTAATCCTGCAAAAACTAATGATTTTGGTAAATTGAATCCCATAACTTTTGAATAAGGGTTTACCTTAATCAGCCAATTGTTAAATGCTTCTCTCAAGATTTGGCTGCTTCTTTGGGGCAGGAGGTAATAATAATTCGGTTAATCGCTGTGATGGAAACTTTTATGTTTAGGTACACATTCATATTTTTATTTGTCACTTAATGCAAAATTTACATAAATGAATTCTCTGAACCCTTTTCAATACCAAAGGACTAACATTACAACACTGTAAGGACAAACCGCCACCTTCAGTAATACAAGCAGTCAAGAACTTAAAATTTTTGATTATTGAATGGGTGACTTTTAGGTGTTATTTACAAAAAGATAAATAAATGGATATTTGGGCTGCCTTTTACAAAGTCCATGCATAAGTAACCCCAAAAAGATTAGAATATTTTCCTATATGCAGAATATATAGGAGTACAAAGTACATATTTATTCGTTGTAACAGTCATTTGAATTTCACGTAAAACTTTCTCCTTTTCCATAGCAGGTTTCCTGTTACAAACATCCAGACTCCAACTGATGAAAGGTAACAGGGGCACTGATGAAGGCAGAGCAAGCAAGCTGATGGCACTCATCTCCATCTTCCACTCTGCAATTTTATATATTATACTTATATCCCATCTTTTTTCCTTCCAAGGAACTCACAGTGGCTTATATAATCCTCCCCCTCTTCTCAGTTTCAGCTGTGTGAGGAATCATGTCCAAATATCTAGAAACTTGGGGCTCTCCCAAGCCACAGATCCCTAATTATTTACTGTGACAACAACTATGAAGTTAAACACCTGAGGAACCTTAGTTATTTTTTGACAAATATGAAAGAACCAAGGTGCGATGTACTCAGCCAGCAGGATGTCATTCTTTGCCCGTTGAAACTTGGTGTCCTCCCTATTGAGTATTGTGCCAGAAAGTCTTCCGAGAAATATGGAAGAATTATTTAAATATATGATAAGAGCAGCTAGAGTTATAATTGCAACAAAATGGAAAGCAGAAGACTGCCCAACTAGTGGAGATTAGAAAAATAAATTAGCAGAATATGCAGTAATGGCAAAATTAACCAGCTATATAAATAGACTGGTTAAGGAATTTAATGAAAAATGGAAAGCTTACTATACATATTTGACTTAGCAATTCAGAGAAAAAATAGAATTTATGTAAGGATCACTTAGCCGATACATTTACTAATCAGCTATATATAGAAGACCAATTAAAGAATTTTATGTTAAATGGAAAGCCTATTATATATCTTTTATTTAGCAATTGAGATTGTTACTATTAAGTATTATGCACACTTAATATAATTTAGGAATTTAACTTTTTTTTGTTTTATCTGGAAAAAACAATTATTAATAATTGGTGGGTTTGTGAATATGTTATAAAGTGACTTATTTACTTGATACCTATGTTAAAGCTTTTTTTTAATAACCAAGTATTATTAAGTCAAAATGGCAGTTATAACACAGATAGAAGTAATACTAATTGTTGAATTTTTGTGTAATTTCCTGCAGTTAGAGCATATGTAATTTTTGTGTAAGTTCCCTTTTCTTTCTTTTTCAAGTTACTTTCTTTTTTCCCCTTTAATCTATAAAAATAAAAAATGATAAAAAGGAGACTGAACACCCTCCCAGTGTCTTCCGCTTCTCAGATCACAAACTTTTAAAAAATTGAGCATAAAAAGAAGCTTGCAGTGCAGGGGAGAAATACAGGCATGTATTTGGAGGCGGAGGAGGGTGGAGACCTGCTGGGTGTGCTCACGACCATACAACTGGGATGGGTTCCACATGCTCAGAACATCAGATTCCAGAAGCCTTTGCCCAGTATGATCAATAATCAAAAATAACAGACGTTGAAGTCCAAAACGTCCCGTGATTTACTTTCTGCACTCCCTCATGTAAGGAATTACCTGTTCCAAGAAGAAGAGTCAAAAGTTCCGCTGGGCTAGCAAAAGTCCCTTGGCTGCATGGAAGCAGTCTTGGAGCCCTGACAACCATGTTTAGATTTTCTATTTTGCATTCATATATCTTACCTTTATAGCACGAAAGGCCTGTGCCCCTGCTTATGGAATTATGGCTGCGGTTCTATAAAGGCTTGCCACAGAATAAATTCCTTGAATTCAGTGGAACTGACTACAGAGTAGAAATGCATGAGATTGTGCAGTAAGAGAGTGGGACATTCAGCCCTTTGCTCACCATCACACCGAAAAAATTTATTTAAAAAACACTCCTTAAAACATTCATTCTGGGGAAACAAACACACATCCATATGCCTTCCTGTGACACCAAGTCCATTTGAACCATTTTGAAGTCTTTTAAAAAGCAAAGTCTTTGACTTGGTTAGTAAAGCAAGCAGTTATGTGGCTGGCTCCACATTGGCTTCCGAGGCTGGCATAGTCCAGGAGGGCTTTTCTTTGCTTTTGACCTGCTGCATAGTATACATGGTTGGACCCAGTCTCAAGATCTTTCCGCTTCCGAGGCATTCATCACCTTTGTAGAAAACAGCAAACTGAAAGGCAAACAGAGGCAATGTTTGCAGCATGGAAAGTGTGTATACGCTGGACAGACTGGACAAGCGATAAGAGGTTCTGCCTCACCACTGAGCACTCAGCAAGTCCTTCAATGGGGCTTTTTTACATCAGCTTCTGATACAGAACACACAACATGGTGATGCACAGAGAGAGACAAGTAAATTGCGTACTGGTTTATACGCCATCGAAAATAGTAAGTTACATAGATAACACATATAAATACATGAGGAATCTTTTACATAAAAAGGCAAATTTTGCCCAAAATATATCTAACACATATATTTTCCCATAGATGGAACTCTCCCATAAGCACCTACGACTGAATCTGCATGAGATGGCGACTCATTCTGGGCTGCCATGTAATGAGAACTGAGACCAGTTTCCACAAAGTGGCTTACTTTTCCCCAACAAGCTACTGTGATGACCTATGGCTTAAGTTAGGTGTTGTTGAACCCACGGTGGTTGTCATGTCATCTGAACCTAGGCAACCCATCCCACCGTGGTTTGCAGGAAGTGGTGAGCAAGTCTGAGCCACTGCTAATGACAGACTCTCCACCAAGTACTCAAGGGGTGGTTTGGAGGGACCATCTCCATCTTTCTCTCCCCTGCTCCAATCATGGCCCCTTTTGTGGTTGTCACAGCCTATCTTCAGATATTGTCTTGAAGGGGATATCTCAAATGTGAAAGCCAGAAACAAAGGACACAGAGAAGCACCCATCACTTGCACATCTCCAATTAAGAAAAAAAATTACTTTAATTAAAAAATATTGTTTTAAAATTTATTTATTTATTTAAAGCATTTCTATGCCGCCCCATCACAATAAGCCTCGGGGCGGCTCACAACATCAAAAAAGTCATCCATACAGTAAAACCCCCAATACAATAAACCCCCCAGTACTATAAAACCTCAATAAAACCTCAGTGCATTCTCGGCTAAAAAAAAAAAAAACCTAGTTAAATAAATAAATTAACAATTAAAATAAGTTTTAAATAAAAAGGTCTTAGCCTGGCACCGAAAAGCAAATAACGACGGCACCAGGCGGACCTCCCTGGGGAGCGCATTCCATAAATGGGGTGCCACCGCCGAGAAAGCCCTCCTCCGAGTACCTACCCTCCTAATTTCCTTCACGGAGGGTTCCCGGAGAAGGGCATCTGCTGCTGACCTCAAAGGGCAGGAGGGCATATATGGGAGTAAGCGTTCCTTTAAGTATCCAGGTCCCAAGCCCTAAATGGCTTGGGAC